CTTCCTTCCTTCCTTCCTTCCTTCCTTCCTTCCTTCCTTCCTTCCTTCCTTCCTTCCTTCCTTCCTTCCTTCCTTCCTTCCTTTCCTTCCTTCCTTTCCTTCCTTCCTTCCTTCCTTCCTTCCTTCCTTCCTTCCTTCCTTCCTTCCTTCCTTCCTTCCTTCCTTCTTTCCTTTTCTTTTCTTTTCTTCTCCCTCCCTTCCTTTTTTAAATTAGTGCTTTAACAGTGTTGCTTGTTATGAGTATGTTAAAATCATCTCACTTTGATTTAATTCTGGTAATCCTATGTACCTAAAAAATCATCTACGCTTTTTAGATTTTCTGTGTAATACATGTCTTTAAAGACATGTCCTGATGAATTTCTGAATGTCACTGTTATAAGAAGCCATCTGCCATTGCTTTGTTTTTGTTTCTAGTTTTATCCATTATGACTTCTCTTTCTTTCTTTTGGTTAGCTTGGCTGAAGGCTTGTCTAATTTGTGAAAAACAACAGAGTTTGTTCACTCCAAGTCTTTATTGAACTGATTCTTTGTACTGTTTTTCTGTTTCCATTTCACTCATTTCTGCTCTGATCTTAATTATTTCTGTCTAGTGATTGTAGGTTTGGCCTGTTATTTTTCCAAGGTTTTAACGTAAACTATTAGTTATCTAAAGTCTGATTTCTTAGATGTGGGCACTTACAGCTATAATCCTCCTCTGAGGCCCTACTTTCACTGTACCTTACACATTTTGGTATTTGTGTTTTTGTTTTTATTTGACACTAAGGATTTTTTTTTTCGTTGCTTCTTCAATGACTTATTGGAGTGTTTTGTTTAATTGGCATTAGTCTTTATACTTGTTCAAACTTGCTTTATATCCTATTGGATGATGGAGTTTTTTGTTGTTGGTTTATTTTTGTTGGGGTGATTTGTCAATTGGTGAATATCAGATACTTTCCCTACGCTAGGGTTAATGTATGAATTCACATTTAGTAGTGTTTGCTTTATGAAACTGTGTGTATGCATTTTCAATATAGAAATTATAATGTCCCTTTAATGAACTTTTCCTTTAAAAAGTATGAAGGAATTCTTCTGACTTCTTTTTATTTGAGGTCTATTTTTATCAGATTTAGAACAACCAAGGCTTGTTTCCTAGTTCCATTTGATTGGATTACCTTTCCCCATCCAACATCTACCCTAATGTAGTTAGTTTTATCTATGTTTAGTGGTGAGGTGTGGACTTTTGTTTGCTTTTATTTTCACGTGCACTGGTGTTTTGCCAGCATTTGTGTCTGTGTAAGGGTGATGGATCCTAGAACTGGAGTTACAGATAGTTGTTAACTGCCATGTAGATGCTGGGAATTGAACCCAGGTCTTCTGGAAGAACAGCCAGTGAACAGCTCAGCTCTTCACTGCTGAGCCAAATCTCTTTAAAATTTCAGTCTGTTTATGTGTGTGTTTTGATTGGGGACATGAGACTATTACTACTGAAAGGTATTACTAACAGGACTGTATTGATTCCTGCCATTTTTTTGGTGTTAGAATGGTGTTTTCCTAGTTCTTTCTTGTGTAACTTAAAAGAGTTTGCTCACTCCTATATCCTCACAGATATACTCAGATTTCTATTTAGTCCAAAGGATTCCTTTCAATATCTTCTATGGAGCTAGTTTAATGGTCATGAGTTCTCTTAGCTACATCACAGAAAGTTTCTCTTTCAATTATGACCATTTTGCTGGAGATAGTAGTCTTGCTTGACAGCTACCTTACAAAATACACATCATTTACCATGGGATTTTTTTGTTTGTTTTTGTCTTCGAGACAGAGTTTTTCTGTGTAGTCCTGGCTGTCCTGGAACTCACTGTATAGACCAGGCTAGCCTCAGAACTCTACCTGCCTCTGCCTCCCTGAGTGCTGGGATTAAAGGTGTGCACCACCTCTGCCCAGCCACTCCCCAAGGTTTTAAAAAGTTTTCTGTTGAGAATGAAGGCAGGATTTAGCTGAAAACAAAGAGATCATGAATTTGAAAGAAAGCAAGAAGGGGAATATGGGAAGATTTGGATGGAGAAAAGAAAAGGGAAAACGGATGTAACTATGTTACGATCTCAGAAATTAAAGAAAAAAAAATAAAAACAAAACCTCTGAAAAGATTCTGTTGGGAAGAAATCTGCATTTACTCTGATGTACCTGCCTTTATACATAGCTTGGTGTTTCTTTCTTGATGCTTTCAATACTTTCTTTGTGTGTGTATACATGCACATATCATTTGTGTGCACATGTGTGAAGACCAGAGTACAACCTTGGATGTTTTTCCTTTGGTGACATCCACTCCTTTACAAAGACAGGATCTTTTCGAGACTAGTCAAGTACAGAAGGGAAAGTGAGTGAGAAGTCAAGTGAGAAGGGAAAAAGTATAGAACAGGAGTTCAATCTGTAACAGACTGTAAACAATGGAGATGACTCACTATCTTTGGACCAGCCAAGACAGGGTCTTGTATTGACCTGCAATTCACAAACTAGGCTAGGCTGGAGTGCCAGTGAGCCTGAGAACTCCCTATCTCTCAAGCAATAGAATTACAAGCACATGCCCTCATTCTTAGTTTTTAATCTGGACCTGTGACTGAATTCAGTCCTCTTGCCATTACTTTGTCCCCTGAGTCATATCCCTAGCCCAATATATTTTCTGTTCTGTATATTTGGTGATTCAATCATACTGTGATGTGGGAGGTTATTTTCTAGTCTACTCTCATATTCTAAATGCTACCTGTAACTGGATTGGCATCTCTTTCCCTAATTTTGGGAAGTGATTTTACTGAAATGGTAAATTCTGATATGCTTTCCTCTCCTTGATCGTTCCTATTTGTGAGGTTTTCCCATGAACCTTCTATTAACCTTATTGTGTTTTTCATTTCCAGGACTTCAATTTGTTTGTTCTTCAGTATTTCTCATTACTGAATCACTCTCTCATAGTCTGCATTGACAGTCTTAAAAAAAAAACAGATTTATTTATTAATTAAATATTTATATAGTATTCTGTCTGCATGTGTGGCTGCAGGCCAGAAGAGGGCACCAGATCTCATTATAGATGGTTGTGAGCCACCATGTGGTTGCTAGGAATTGAACTCAGGACCTTTGGAAGAACAGCCAGTGCTCTTAACCTCTTAGCCATCTCTCCAGCCCACAATTAAAAACATTTTTTTGTGGTTTTTTTTTTTTTGTGTGTGTGTTTGTTTGTTTGTTTTGGATACTGGATTATTTGCTGTCCTGGAACACTTTTTGTAGATCAGGCTGGCCTTGGGCTTACATAGATAAATCTGTCTCTACCTCTGGGTGATGGGATCAAAGGTGCATGTCACCACTCCCAGCCCCTTATATTTATTTTTGTGTGCATGCTAGAGCATGCATGTTGAGGTCAGAGGACCGTTTTGAGAGTTGTTTCTCTTCTTCCACTATATAAGTTGCAGTGATCAAACCTTAGGAATCTGCTTAAGTCCACTGGACTCATTAAGTGAGCTTAGCTACTGTTTAGTTAGTGTGTTTTATGATGTTAGAGAGGTTCACTTCTGTTCAACATTTGCTAAGACTTTCTCCTCACCAGCAAGTGGTGAACATTTTGTTTTGTTTTGTTTTAAATTCTGAAAAGAATATGTGTTTTTTTTTTTTTTTTTTTTTTTTTAAAAAAAAAAAAAAGATGCTTTAAGAGCTGTCATTCTCTGGGTGTGAAAGCATAACTTTAGCCAGGTGTGGTGGCACACACCTTTAATCTCAGCATTCAGGGAGGCAGAGACAGGTGGATCACTATGAGTTCCAAGCCAGTCTGGTCTACCAAGAGTATACAAAGAAACACTGTCTTAAAAAAACAAAAAAACAAAACTAAAACAAACAAACAAAAAAAACTTTATTAGTATTCAGACCATGAGGATCAGGGCAATGTCTGCATTCCCCATTCCTTTCAAACTGTGTTCTGTGAGGGGCCCCCACTTTTTTTTCCCAGAGCTGAGGACTGAATCCAAGGCCTTTAGCTTTACTGAGCTAAATCTTTAACCCCCCTGTGAGCCTTTTAACCTCATGAAGTTTAAAATCAGTTATAAATAAATAACTGGTATTTTTACTAAATAATTTTATTGGTGGATATAAATATGTATCTATAACTAAACATCTCCAAAGCCATGCCTAGAGATGCAGCTGAGCCAGGAGAACAGCAAGTTCAAGGCTTGTCTGAACCACAGAATGTGTTCTAGATCACCTGGGGCAACTTAGTGAGATCCTGTATCAAAATAAAAATAAAAAGGATTGGGAGATAGCTTAGTGGGAAAACATCTGGCTAGCATAGTGAGGCTCTAAAATTAATCCCTAGTACTGAGGCTGGAAATAATTTTCACTGTGGAAGGAACCAAACTAAAATCCTATATAAATGCAAGAATGACTTTGGTCAAGTTTATACTTCGTCTTTTTTATTATTTGTTCTAAATCAATTTTCTCATTCTTATAGCCTGATCATGTATTTTTGTTACTACTTACTTGGTCCTTTTTCAATAAAGATTAAGGGGGAAACACAGATAAAGAAATAACATCCACTAATAGGAAACATATAAGCAAAAGGCTCTTGTATGTAGTAGGAACCCTGCACCACACTCAATAGATTTAGCCATACCCCCTTACCCATGGGGGTACATTCAAAGAATCTAGGTTTTTGAAACTATAGCTACTCTCTAACCCTATATGTATTCTTTTTCCAGTGTACAACTACAAGGGAAACAAAAACAACAACAAAACACCCTTAAAATAAATGTTTCAACAAAAGTAAGACAATTGTACCATATTTCAATAAAAGCCTATGTGAACTTGGTCTCTCCCCAATGAAACCTTACCATGCTATATTTATTCCTCTTCCTGTGATGATAATGCCACAGTACAATGGCCACATGAGACACAGTAAAGGACTGTCACATATAAACACTGAAGTACTAAATTCCCTGACACCAAACCAATACTAAAATGGGCCTGTGGTAGCATACCATACACAGACGCTGAATAAAAGGATGATTAACAATCTAGGTTTGAAAAGGAAAGATTTTGTAAGCTTTCATAAAGATCCAGTACAAATTGCTTATTTCTGCAATTTTCCTTTTATTATTTCTAGATCATAGCTAAACATACGTCATAAAATGGCTGAAAGCAAAACAATAGGCAAGGGAGAACTGCAGTCCTTAGAGAATCCCCAAAATGCTGGCAGCTCTATATGGCCAGTTCTTAGCTGAATAATGAGATTACAAAATCTACAGACAGCCTCTGCTGTATGGTTAGTGGATATGAAGGACAAAGAAAAACCTCACCTTAAACAGAAGTGAGCAAGAGAACTACCCATGGCATTAGAATGTCATGGAAAATGCTTTTTCAGAACCAACTATTTATTATAGATTAGAAAAATGAAAATTCAAGAATTCATTTTAAAATACTTAATGAATCAGTACTCTTGCTCTACTGAATTTAAAAAATGAGAAAAATTTAAATTTAAATTTAAAAAACTTTCAGGCTGCCACTTCACCACAAAATTCTGGGCAAGTCAATAAAACAACTTACCCTCTGTGAGGAATTAAGACTGTCTGTGTGATTAGGGACCAACTCAAGTGTCAGGGGTGGCTGCTTCAGTATTCCCGGCATAAGATCCATATTTGAGTCACTATCTTGGTCTGAGATGTTACTTTCCAATGAATCAGCTACAAGGTAAAGAAAAAAAATTATAGTATCTGCTACTTCTCTGAAGTAGAAGTCTAATTATGTTAACTAGTCTAACTACCCTAAGGAACTTAGAGCAAAGCACTGTTTCTATATAGCAAGTCTAGCAGACATCCTATGAAGGAGCAGGTGACTTTATTATAGGATTTGCTGTCATAGAGGTCTTTGCAGCATTCTCTTCTTTACATTTTATTTATAACACTTAAAAAAATGTAAAAAATGGGACTGGAGAGACAGCTCCGCGGTTAAGAGCAATGGCTGCTCTTGCAGAGGGCCCAGGTTTGATTCTAAACACCCACATTATGGCTTAAAACCATATGTAACTCTGGCTCCAGGGAAATCCCTTGCCTTCTTCTAGCCTTCATGAGCACCAACGCCATGTATGTAGTGCACAAACATTCATGCAAGCAAAATATTCATGCACATAAAAGAAACATTTAAAAATTTTTAAAAAGCCGTAAGGCTCACTCTTGACTAAATTTGGCTTGTGCTCTAGTTTGTCATCTCTACAGGATAACTGTGCTAAATCTAGAAAATTACAAATTCAAAGCTATCTGTTATTCTCTGAATTATTTATATTATATACTCAGTCAAAACCACCATCCTATGTAGACCTGAGACATCTGAAAATCACCAAGAACCTAGTCTAAATTTAAAGAACAATCTGGTAGAAGATAAAAACAAAACAAATCTGGTAAGAGTACAAACAAAACAAATAAACAACCCCCCCAGCAAAGTAAAAATATTTATTTTACTTTATGTAAACAAATGTTTTGTCTGCATATATGTAAAATCACATGTATCCTTGGTGCCCAAGCAGGTCAGAAGAAGACACTGGATTCCCTGAAACTACAGATGGTTGTAGGCTACCATGTAGGTATAGGGAATCAAACTCAGGATCATTTGGAAGAGCAACAAATACTCCAAACCAGAGCCTTCTCTCTAGCCCCAGACTACAAATATTAACAGAAGAAGTTGAGTCAGAGCACACAAATGGAAAGCAGTATTAGGCATATGTCATGATCATAAGCTAAGACTCAATTGTGGGAGCCACAGTGTGAGCAAAGGCTCTAAGCCTGGGAAGACTTGCTGGCACAGGCTGCTCAACAAGAGAAACCAAGGCAGGTACTCAACCTACAGAAGACAGTTGGGCCTCAACTGCTGGAATAAGGGACAGAGCTTTGAATGGAAGGCAGATAAATACTATGATACTGATCATGGAAGGTCCATTCTACTAGGAACAAAAATAATACAGAATATGAAACAGATAGGAGCCTACGGTAAGAAATCAAGGTCAAGTACAAAGGAAGGGAAGCTGCTAAGCTATACACAGCAAAAGTCTTTAAAACTCTGGAGATGAGACTATCAATGTGATGTATCATATCTCATACTTCAAATGGTCTCAATGAAGGTGACATTTTCCATTTATTGTCTAGCTAGACAAGAAGAAATGGGCTTCATCTGCAACAAGGTAAATATTTTCTCAAATTTATTTATTTTATATGTGTGTGTCTATGTGTACATGTGTTGTCTATGTGAACTTGTGCATGTGCAGAAGCATGTGTGTGTGTGCTTGTGTACCCATAAAAATGCATAAAAGGCTGTAGAATCAAGGACTGGAGTTACAGGTGGTTGAGTCACCCAGCATGGGTGCTAGGAACTGAAGCTGGATCTTTTGGAGGAGCAAGCATCCTTAACTGGGGAGCCATCTCTCCAGGCTACACCAATACTTTAAGAAAAATAAGTGTGTGAGTTTAAATTAAGAAAGAGTAAGTACATTCAATTCATAAGAACAGTGTGTCATCTTTGCTAGCTTTCTGCCTGATGTCCAAAGACGAGTGTAATGGCATCCTGAGATCCTGCTAGCTTTAGGTTTATATGGGGCTCCACATAAAAGCTCTCACATGGGAATCAAGAGAGATGGGCTTTACTCATGGTTTGTGAAAGAAATGACCAAAGTAGAAACCAAAGCATATACATAGTTAAGTTAGATGAAAGACAAAACTAGGATTGAAGTTGGATTGTACTTAAAGAACATTAGAAACCTATCATTAGATGAATGCGTAAATAAAAACAAAATTATGTCATATGCAGGAAAGTGGATTGTACTAGAGATCATGGTACTCAATGAAAAGACTCCAAAAGACAAACATGTCCTTTTCTCATATATGAAATCTAGATATTCATAAAATCTCTGACATGAAGGAGGAAGGGAGAGGAATAAACCTGATGTGAGAATAGAAGTGTTATGACGTGAGGGGAGATAGAAAGCTAGAGCATGTTTTCTCTCATGCTGAATTTCAATTTAACTATGCATGTATGGAAGGGTATGCAAAAGGCTGGTAGAGAATATACATACAGGACTACATATACACATGAAATTGTCATAGCAAGGGGCCAGAGAAATGGCTCAGCAGTTAAGAGCACTGGCTGTTCTTCCAGAGTTCTGAGTTCAATTCCCACTAACCACACATTGGCTCGTAACCATCTATAATGAGACCTGGTGCCCTCTTCTAATGTGCAAGTGTACATGCAGACAGGGCACTGTATACACAATAAATAAATCTTAAAAAAAAAAAAAAAGCCATGGAGGGCGGAGAATTAACATTATCTTGCTGTTTTTTCAATATCAAACTGCCTTCGCAGGATCATGCTTTGAACACTTCTTCTCTAGTTGGTTGGCACTCTAGAGGCAGAGGCAAGCAGATCTCTGTGTTTGAAGCCATCCTGCTCTATAGTGCCAGTTCCAGGACAGGCAGGGCTACACAGAGAAACCCTGTCTCAAAACACTTAAAAAAAAAAAAAAAAGGCAAAACAAATAAAATTACAGAGCCATGATGCTTTGTCCAATCTTTGTGAGGCGGCAGTATGCTGTGGGGTAGGGACCCTGTAAGAAGTCCCAAAGCAGGCTGAATGTGAAGCTGTTAAGGGTGAAACCAAAGTTGCAGTAAAGATACTGAGATGTCAAAGATGTGAGGCAGATGGGAGGTTTATCACGGAAAGCTGTAGGTGGAATGACTGGAGTCAGACCAAGATGGACTTGACAGTGTACTACAACTGCCAAAGGGATAGGGGCAGGAATTCAAGTCTGTCATACATTCATATCATATATCAATGTTCCCAGACTGCCAGGCACATGGCTGCAGGATTTAGTATTTGGACTTCTGGGTATTGGTCTTGCTTCAGCCCCATCTTTCTTGGCTATCTGGTTTTGGAAAAGGAATGCTTTACTCTCTGTCATTCTGTATCAGACATAAATAACTTTCTTTTTATTTAACAGGGTCTCGTAGTTGAGAGCTGCCTCAAGCCTGAGAAGAGACTTGGCATTTCTGAACACTGTGGAAATTGTTAGAATTGTGGAAACTCTGAAGAGTTGGTCTGAAACATTATGTACTATGAGATGGCTTTGAACCACTACAGCTAGAGACAAGAGTATTAAAGTTGAATCTGAAAAATTCCTTATAGGTTTTTTTTAAAATATTTTATTTATTTATTTATTATGTATACAATGTTCTGTCTGCATGTACACTTGCATGTCAGAAGAGGGCACCAGATCTCGCTAGAGATGGTTGTAAGCTACCATGTGGTTGCTGGGAATTGAACTCAGGACCTCTGGAAGAGCAGCCAGTGCACTTAACCTCTGAGCCATCTCTCCAGCCCCCTCCCCCCATAGGTTTTTAAGTATTTTTCTTTCCAGCTGTTGGTGCTATTTCAGGAGACTGTAGAACCTTTAGGTAGGTGTACCAGCTGGCAGAAGTAGGTCATTGGGAAGGGACTTTTGAAGTTATAGCCTGGCTGCTGGTTCTGGCCCTGGTCCCTGCTTCCTAGTCTTATATGATATAAGAAGCTGTCTAAGTTCTCAGTGTCATGGACTAAGGCACACCATGTCTTTTTTTTTTTTTTTTTTTTTTTTTTTTTGAGACAGGGTTTCTCTGTGTAATAGCCCTGGCTGTCCTGCACTTGCTTTTTAGACCAGGTTGCAGGCTGGCCTTGAACTCACAGAGATCTGTCTGCCTCTGCCTCCCTAGTGCTGGGATTAAAGGCATGTGCCACCACGCTGGCCTGAAACTTCTGAAGCTGTTTCAGAATAAACTAGTCTGGCTTTTATTTTATTTTTGTCAGGTATTTGATCATACCAGAAAAGTCACTAACCGTACAGAAAGTTAAGAGATGACAGGAACTTACACCTGTGTATAATCCTTTGCTTAGAAGAATGCCTCTGATGACTTCAAAATCTCTTCCAATGCATAACAACACACCAAACAGTGAATATACAGACAGATCCTAAAGCAATGCTAGACAAAACATGGTCTTACTTAAGGATTCCATTGGAGAAGGAACCACAAACGCTATTTCTGTCAGGGCATCAGCATAATACAGCACCTTCTTCTGCCCATTGAAAACGCTAGCCCCAGCATCTTCAGAGGAAGTTATTTCATCTAGGAATAAGAAACAACACATAACCAATTCAGACACTTGGGCACATTCACCTTCCTGTTCATGAAATCTAGCCACTTTATAAAGCAATGGCAGTTCCAACAAGAACCAATTTGTAGGTTAGAAGAACAAACCGTAAGTGTTGACTATCCTTATGATAATTTTATATCATTATCTCCTACTTATGAAGTTAGTCTACAGCAGACATGAACTGTCTACTGCTCTCAGCTACGCTTCTGCCCTCCCTTCTCTGACGACCAGTGATATAAAAGCATACAGGGAGTCTTAGTAGGAAGTATCTGTTCTACACCAAAAAGAATTGACTTAAAACACCCCTAACTATATTGTTTCGTTTAAAATGATCATACAGCAACCAATATGACGCAAAAGACCAGGACCTTCACAGGAGACTGGCATACAGATTTCAGGAAAGGAAATGTATGAAAACAATACATGCTTATTTTCCAATCACAACTAAAACTAAGAAAAATTTCACCTAACATATGAGAAGATGCTTAATGCTAGTAAAGATGTGGTAAGAGGGTGCTGGATAGATGGCTCAGCTGTTAAGAGCACTGACTGTTCTTGAGGTCCTGAATTCAATTCCTAGCAACCACATGGTGGCTCACAACCATCTGTAATAAAATCTGACTCCCTCTTCTGTGGTGTATGAAAAGAGTGTTTATATACATGAAATAAATAAACAAATCTTTAAAAAAAAAGATGTGGTAAGAACACAAGAAATTTACCACTCTTTCTTCAAAGGACCAGATAGTAAATATTTGATGCTCTGCAGGTAATACAGCTCTGCTACAAACTATCTACTTCTGCCACTGCAGGACCAGGAGAGTCATATACAACGCACAAATGGGAGTGTGGCTCAGCTTCAGTAACATACTACCTCTCAAACTAGATATGGGCTGGCAACTAAAACTCTAGGCAAGTCCTCTCCATCTGCTACTGTTCCAACATGTACTCTGCTGCCCTACTCTGGAGCAGGCCAGAAGTTGAAGAGTAGGCAGCAGTGACTCTCTCAGAGTCAGGGTCAGTGAGAGAAGGGGCTCCAGTCCAGGGATTTCTTCTCCTCTGGCTAGTGTGGTTTATGCATGTAAAGTCTGGAACTGCCTTTTATTACTATGAGAGATAAGCAAGTATGCAGAGAACGGATATAAAAAGAAAAGTACAAACAAAATAGGGGTGCTGGTAATGATGCACAAAAAAAGAAAAAAAAAACTTAAACAATTTGAAATTTCTTGGTCCATGGGAGAAAGAAATGATCTTCAAAATTTAAGCTGGGGCCAGTGGGATTGGCTTAGTGGGTAAAAGTGCTCACTGCAAAGCCTGAAAACCTGAAATCTCTAGGCCCCATGTGAAGATGAAAGAACCGTCCTGTGTACCCTACATGTGTAGAGTGGCGTGCATGTACCTGCCACATACATACATGTATCGTATATGTACATACCTTCCCCCCCCCCTTTTTTTAAATATAAGGTCATAGTATGTAGTCCTAGCTAGCCTGGAACTCTCTATATACACCAGAATAGCCTTGAACTAGCCAGAGATCCACTTGCTTCTGCCTCCCAAGTGCTGGGATTAAAGACATGAGCCAACACACCTGGCCAATAATAATATAGTTTTAAAAACTAATAAAAATATCAGCCAGTTTCATTCAGGTTTTCTGTCTCTTAAACCATAAGCATTTGAAGGACTTATTTATAAAATGGTGTAAAAAAAAAAATCTACTTGGGGCTGGAGAGATGGCTCAGAGGTTAAGAGCACTGGCTGTTCTTCCAAAGGTTCAGAGTTCAATTCTCAGCAACCACATGGTGGCTCATAACCATCTATAATGAGATCTGGTGCCTTCTTCTAGCCTGCTGTACACATACAGGAAGAACACTGGGCTGCCTCTATGATGAACTCAGTTGACTGCTCTGATTACTGGCCCCTAATGATGCAGCCTTGCCAGGCTACAGAGGAAGAGGATCCAAGTAGTCCTGATGAGACTTAACAAGCTATGGGCAGATGGCAAATAGCGGAGAAATCCCCCTTTCAGTGGACTTAGAGGAAGGGGATGAGGGGAAGATGGAGGGAGGGTGGGACTGGGGGAGGTAAGGAAGGGAGCATCAATCGGGATATATAATGAAGAAATTGTGAAGAAAAAAAAGAAAAAGTAAAATCTACTCAGTTGTAGTTTGCCTAGTATATGTGAGGCCATAAAGTTCAATTCCTAGCACCATACATAAAAAACAAAAACAAAAACAAAAACAAAAAAAAAAACACCATGCTCAATGACACATTTATAAACATGCATATCCTTTATCAGTTCTACTTACAGAAATATAATCAAGCATATGTTTCATGGGTACATAGAAATTAAAATTATTGTATATCCCAAAATATTTGCCTCCAACTTGAGTGAAAATTAGAAGGAACTAGAGGTCAGATAACAATGACGCTGAAGAAAAATTCTGAAATAGCATGATCTTGAGATAAGAATGCTGAAGACTATTCACTTATCCTCAGATCTCAGAATCCCAGAACACACGAGCTAGATTCTGCCTTGTTTCATTCTGTACTGTTCTGTTTCCCTAGTTATATGTTCTCAGAAGGCTAAGTGGAGATGGGTAAAAACCTGAGACAGATGCTGTCATATTACAAAGTCTATAAAAACACTCATTCATTCAAAAATCAAACATTCTTGTTTAAAGCACTCGGGAGCACAGGCTGACCTCTGTGAGTTCCAGACAAGCCTGATATATAGTTCAAGGCCAGTCTGGATATATAGTTCAAAGCAAGTTCCAGGATAGCCAGAGCTGTAACACAGAGAAACTCTGTCTTGAAAATCAAAACAAAACAAAGGAATTATTGTTTATTAGATATAGTTTTTATAGGAAGCTGTATTTGTTTCTTCACATATAAAAAAGAATACATCAGCACAATAATAAGTAGTTAATTTTGTATTACTTTACCCTATCATTACATCTTTCATACACATAGGAAATATCTATAAAACTAGACAAAATAGAAGTGGCAAGGTGGTTCTGTAGGTAAAGGCTCTTGCCTCCAAGTCTCTTGACTGAATTCCACACCTGCAACTCATACGGTGGAAAGAGTAAGCAGCCTCCCCAGGCTGTCCTCTACAGCCACAGGCACATACACTTCCCTCCTTCCCAACCCATACACAAAACACATAATTTAAAAAAGTATACAAACTAGAACATGACCCCATGAAGACTAGCACAGAGGAAAGGAGAAACTTTCCTTGATATAATCTGTTTAAAATACTAAAGGTTCACAAGAAAGGGGAGACAGAAGAGCAAGAATGACTGAACAAGAAACAATTAACAGCTATTATAAGTTTTACCTTGTTCAGACCCTTCACAGTCATCACAACTATTAATCGACCAACTGGTGGACACGTGTCCTGTCCAACCAGGGTGTCTGCCCACATCTACTGACCAGCCAAGGGAGAGCAAAAATTCTAGGAAATGTGGCTGAACATTTCTGGAAGACTCCACATTCTTTAAAATCTGAAATACACAGCAAGCATCAGTTATGAAGGGAATACAAGAATATATTAAATACACATGAAAACAGACGATCTTTGAAGCTTCTGACAAATCAAGACCCAGTTCAGTATGAATTTGGGAATATTATCACCATAGTGAAAAATCATGTGGTTGGACTGGCTGGCCCTTGTCTCTGTTTCTTCATATGCAAAATGAGGATAATGATGGTTGTGAAGATCACATGTAAATGGTGTAAGTAAGATCCTAAGCTCTCCCTCAGGCAAAAAAGTTACTGAGCCAGAGCTGTTTAATGAGAAATGTTAAACAGGTGTGGGCTAACAGCCTTGTCAAATGTATAGAACTGAAAGGTTGAATTAATAAATGAACATGAAAATGTTCTTTTCTTAGTCCAAAGGAGAGAATACAGGCAATATAGAAATACAAAGTAACCAGAAGTTTTCTCTTCTTCTACTGGCTACAGAGAGGGGAAACTGTTTTGGGGGTTGGCAAAATGGTTCAATGGGTAAGGGAGCTTGTTATTAAACCTGTTAAATAAATTTGATCCCAGAAAGCCACACAGTGGAAGGAGAGAGCTGACAGCTACCAGTTGCCCTCTGACTTCTAGCTACATACCATGGCATGTGGATGGGCACAGGTACACAAATAAACAGGTATGAAAACATGAAAAAATTTTGACTGTTTTGACCTGCCATCTCCAGACAAGTCTGGAAATATTTTTGGCTGTCACAGTATGATGGTTAGTATTAATTGTCAACTTGACAAAATCTGGAAAGGGAGTCTCAATGAGGTACTGTCTAGATTAGGGTGGTCTATGAGTATGTCTGTGAGGGTTCTTTCTTTCCTTCCTCTTTTTTTCCCTCTTTCCTTCCCTCTTTTCTCACTATGTAGCCCTGTCTGTTCTGGAATCTACTATGTAGACCACGATTTGAATTCACAAGTGATCCACCTGTTTCTGCCTCCTGAGTTCTTGGATTAAAGGCGTACCACCATCACCCAACAAGGCATTTTCTTAATTGGGTTAATTGAGATGGAAGATCCATCTTGAATACAAGCCTGCTGGTTCTTAAGTATGGGGTGCGATTTAAACAGCCCTTGTAGCTCCTGCCTGACTTCCCTGACACAATGGACCTCGAATAATGAGCTAAATGAGCCTTTTTCCCTTAAGTTGTTTCTGTCATAGTATGTTAATACATTAACTAAAAAGAAAACTAAGATACAGTGACAGAACAATGCTGGGCTCCAAAGCCAAAGATGCTGCTCAATGGACTGAAAGGCACCGGGCAGCTCCCACAACAAAAAGATCTCTTAAACACTCAGTTCTAAAGGAAGGAAAATATGGACTTCTTTTCCAAATGAAAAATAAAAAGGGAGGCAAGGGAGTATGTGACAAAACTATTTGGAGAATTTTCTACAAATAAGACTCTCTTAGCTTGCCCCTGGCCTACAATTTTAGCAAAAGCAAACTCTTAAAACCACCATATTTAAAAGCTCCTCTCACATGAGTGAAGCACCTAGTTGATAAATCTCTAGTAATTTATACAATGCTGACTGGTAACAATCCCCTGTATGCCTGTATGCTATTACTTTTTAGTTTATTGTGTGTCACTGGCATGACTATCTTTTGTACACAGAATCAGTTTCTAGAAGTATATTTGTTTTGTTCACCCATAGCTCTCAAACTCTCTTTCAACATGTCTGTCTGTCTGTCTATCTATCATGTAAGAAAGAGCAGAGAGCAAAAAAAGAGTGTGAGAGAAAGTGCAAGAACATTCACACTGCCACAGTATGTGGAGATCAGATCACAATTCTGGGAGTCAGTTTTCTCCTTTATGTAGGTCTAGGGATCCAACTCAGACCACTAGTTATGGCTGACATCAAGTTCCTCATTACCCAAAGAGCCATGCTACTTGATGTTAGGAGACAGGGTCTCATTATACAGCTGCAGCCCTCCTTGAACTTTCGGTCTTTCTGTACCCTGACTAGATGAGAAGTCTGCAAATAAATAACTTCTGAAAACTTAGTCAAGAAGCAGTAGGTGATTCAAATTGGCCTTGCAGCTTACCTGCCAGCAGCTAGTAACCAATCTCTATTGGCTAGGGAGAGGTTTCAGATAGTCTCCAGAAACCTTCACTGCTTCTTGATGACCTCAGAAGCCCAAGGAAACTAAACAGATTAGGAAGTGCCTCAGAGCCGTATCTTTTATAGGTAGGAGAACATTTTCCCCATATTTTCATGTGAGCAACATCCTATTCTTACTAATCCGATATTAATGGGGTTCTAACAACATAAAGCACAAAGTCTCATTTCTGGCTGCCACCATCCCTGCTTCTTGAAACCTCCAGCACACTGGCACCATGATGAATTTCATGAAGATGCAATAATGCTATTTACCTCTGGGGAACTTATGCTATGGTCAAGTGTACACTCACAAATTGTTGAAATGGTCTTGTTTCAGAACCTTAAAATCAGGTTAGGTCTCTTAGGCTCCTAAAGCACAATCTGACAGCCCTATTAACACACGTTGAGTGCTTCTTCAATGCCTGCCTTCCCTTTAAATAGTGAGACAGCCTTGTATCCCTGTTTGCCTGTAACCTGGAGCCTAATAGAAAGGAGAAACTTAATAAGTGTGTGCTGAGTCAGTAACATGAATGAGAACTTCCTCATTAGCAGCTCACTAATACAAAATTTGAGACAGTGCTTCTTATGGAAACATCCTGTAACTCCAGTAAATTTCAACAGGTGTATTAATTCAAAGACTTAGTTAATGACAGTGCAGTTCCAAGATGACAAGGTCACAGTACCCTAACTTCTTTGACCCTCTCCTAGTCAGAGCCACTGTCTAGGACATGATTCAGTTTCTTGTTTCCAACAGAAACTTCAGATCCCCTGCTATTCCTCTCAGTCCTCCATTCTCACCCACATTACACATCCCTTCAACCTCCTAGTCTATTCTGTTACCCATATCCAACTGTGTTTTACTTCACCGTGTTTTATGTTTTACCTCAGTTGAAATGGCTTATAGTGAGGCTACCTATAAAGAAAAGGCCTGCTGCTCACTTTACCTGGCAGGAGCCCCAGGGAAGATTGTCAGGAAGTGTTTAACACTACTGTCCAACTCTGAAGCTTCCGGCCTAGCTGTGGCTCCTGGTAGCTAACCTTCTGGTGCTTTAGTTTTCCTTGCCTCCTGAGTATGAGCTCCTTATGGAGAAGGAATCCATGCTGGCTCCTACTCTAACCATGCTTCTTGATGGTGGAAAACTCCAGATTAGGCTTCAGGGTTACAAGCACTCAGTTTCTAATGGAACAACAAGCCATAAGCATAGAATACAAAATTCTCATGCCAAGTACAAACACAAAGAGCTGACATGGAGTCTTGTATGTTTATAGTACAGAAAGAAGAAGGAAAAGTTCGGAATTCTTACCTCTTGGTTTGTTTTCTGACCTGGTTTCATGTAGAAAATAAAAACTGTGTCAAAAGGACGACATGGCAAAAGATCCAGATACCCAATGTCATCAAAAAACCCAGGTATGGAAGAATCTAGTGCAATGAGGTGAGGAGGTAGACGACTATTTGCAGGTTCCTATCACATGAAAGAAGCAATAATTGTTACCACTGCATCATTCCAATCATAAAGCAGCACATGGCTGCTTGTTCAGTTCATAGGTCATTCATCCATTCCAGAATGGTGTCTCAGGATAGCTTCGCAGTCTAGGTTTGCCTCTAACTCACTATGAAGCCAGAGCTGTTCTTGAACTTGCACTCCTGCTTCAGCCTCCTAAGTACTAGCATTACAGTAGGTCACCACACCCACCTTTTCTCATTTTAATAAAAATTAAATTAAAAATTATAAAGTAGCAGGAATAAATACAACCATAATCCTAAAGAAACTGCTTCATGTGTTTATATCTCAAGCTATTTTTTTTCCTTCAAACAACTGAGGTTACAGTGTATATATAATCTGAGAGCCAGTTTTCTCTAGAATATAATGCTTTCTAGAATGTAAAAATATATATGACTGTTTTGCCTGCATACATGTATGTGCACCACATGCATGACTGGTACACACAGAGGCCAGAAGGGAACATTGGATCCTCTGGGACTGGAGCTACAGATGGTTGTTAGCACCCATGTGGGTGCTGGAAACTCAATCTGTGTCCCCTGTAAGAGCAGCCAATGCTATTAAAAGCTGAGCTATCTCTCCAGCTTCTCTAAAACATTTTTAAAATGTACTTTAAAACTCATTGCTAATACAGAAACAATATACTACAGTTACTTTGGAAGATAAGCGACAGTTTCTTGCCAAAACACTGTCTTAATACAATGTAGCAACTGCTTATCTTGGTATTTTTCCCCAATCAGAGAAAAACATAACCACAGAAAATGATAGACATGAATTTTATAGCAACTCCATTCAGAACTGCCAACACGTTCAAGAAGCCAAGATGTTTTTCAATAGGTGAATGGATAAACAAACTGCTTACTAATGAAAAAAAATGATGTATTGTCTTAAGAAGACATGAAAGAATTTTAAATGCACTGTTGCTAAATGGAAAAATAACTGCACGGGACTACATTGTACAATTTTCTAACCATATGCTATTCTGGAGTAGGCAAAACAACACAGAAATAGCACAAGGACAAGTGTTTATAGGAATCTGTGGTGACAGTGGGAACTCTGCACATGGGAGCATGCATGTACCCCTACATGCATACACACACAAAACCCATAATATTTTTAAAACACTTGCAGTGGTGAGCACATGTTATACAATTTTTCGAAACCTATTGGCCTGTACAATAATGAACTCTAATGTAAATTAGAGACTCCAGTTAATAATCCATGGCTACATGCTCATCTGCTGTAGCAAACATATCACATCAATGCAAGTCATTACCACAGAAAACTTTGGGGGCAGGTGTAATACAGGAACCCCCTACACTTCTTGCTTGGTTATCTATAAACCTAAAAGTTCTTGAAAATTAAAAAATCCATTAAATTTTAAAATGCATTTTTGTTTCATTTTACTTTTAATCCCTTATCTTCTTTGATCTTGCCAAAGTTTTAGCAAAAGAAGATTTGCCAACAGTGGTTCTTACTGTCAGAAAGCCACCCCCAGAGACGGTTAAGAATTACTCTTTTTCACACAGGAGGAATTCTGAACTTGGTCTGTTAATCTGATTCTTAAATTCCTACCAAAGGTTGGGAATCACTGACCATAGTTATTATCTTCCTGATATAAAAGAGAAGTCTTAACAGAAGGTTACAAATAGTTCTATGACAATTCAAGGCTTTTTTTTTTTTTTTTTTCCACTTTGTTTTTCAGAGATGGGGTCCTTGCCTGCTCTGAAATCTATATAGACCAGGCTGGCCTTGATCTCAGAGATTCACCTTCCTTTACTTCCCAAGTGCGAGGATTAAAGGTGTGCTTTATTTTTACCACTCAATGAACTTTCTTGAAATATTATCAGTTTATTGAAATATTGCCAGTGGAAACCTCCCAGTTTTCCCACTTTTACTCTGAAACTGTCAATGAAGAAGTGTGAGTGTTGGCATGCTGCAGACACCATGTGAGCAGAGTGTTCATATACTTGTGTTTTTCCTTTAAGTTTCTTTCTATAGCTCTTTGCACAAAGTTTTTTAGGGTAAATGTAATTTGTGTTAGTATTTCAGTTGCAGATGGGGTATTTTCACATTCTTTGGGTTGCCTGTGTATATGTTTTGTTGTTTGTTTACTATTGAGAAAGGATCTCATTATGTAGCCTTAGCTAGCCTGGAATTCAACTATATAAACCAGGCTGGCCACAAACTCAGAGATCTGCCTGCATCTGTCTCTAGAATGCTGGGACTAAAAGTGTACACCACCCCTAACTTCACATTGCAGTTTTAAACTTTAACCTTTTATTTTGTATGCATGCACCTCTGTAAAAGTCAGAGGAGAACTTTTGGGAGTCAGCTCCCTATTAACCTCTGTGGGATCCCGGGATCAAACTCTGTTTGCACAGGCCTTCCTTCACACAAGCACTTCTCCCAGCTAAGGCATCAACAGTCCCTCACACTGCACTTTCAGTTGGATTTTACAAGTAGTAATTAACTTCTTATTTATTTTATTTCATTTATTTTAAATATTGTTTTAAAGGCTGCCTGACTAAGAAGTCATATTCCCTTCAAACTGTCTCCTTTCCAGTAAAATTTAGTAGGCAGTTTATTTTCATTTTTCTTTCATTTTTTTTTTTCTGGTAATGTAAAGTGTTATCACGACATTTATTTTAGAATGTTTTGTTAATCTACAATTATTTCAGGGTGAAAGTTAAAAATCTCACTGTCTAAAATATTCTCATTGTTATATATTGCCATATAGTCATAGTACAAATTAACTCTCATTTGTACAATAGGTGTCTCTAACTTGTTAGGGCACTTCAAAAGACTATACCATGCATATGTATGGGTTTATACCATGCATCCTAAACTCTGGGGTAGTCTTAAGGTTAGATCAATATTGTTCTATAAAATCTTGATTTACTTTTATTGTTTTATGAAGTCAAAATATTTTCTTAGTATTTTTACTAGTATTTCCCAATAATCAATTTTTTCCCAATTGCATTCTTTGACAAATCATACTATGGTGTAAAAGAGAATTCACTTAACATGCTACTGATTCAGAATTCAGTTAGTATTCTCTTTAATACTTTTATATGTATTTTCAAAATATTGGTGTGCAGTTGCTTTTTAAAGTACATAATATCTTGTTTAAATTACTAGAAATATGCCAAAGTTCATAAAAGTAAACTTGGTAATTTTTTCTATACTATGGTAGAAATTAATAAAATAACATAATTTCTTAAAACCTTCAATATTCCAAAGTATTAACATTAATAGAAAAACTATACTCTCAGGAACAAGACTAGTGAGGGATATAATAGTTTTCTTCTCAAACACTTTGATTTAAGGCTCCTACGATGGCAACTTACTGCACTTGCTTTGTGCTTTCCTTATTTGTTTCTGTACCTGTTGCTTCCCACCCTCTGCTCCTTCACTCTGCGTTTATTTATTTGGAGACGGGTCTTGCTATGAATCCTGGCTGGCTTGGAAGGGCTCCACCTGCTTCTGCCTCGAAAGCACTAGGATTAAAGGCCTGCACAATCAAGCCAGGTTCTTTCATTTTCCATTTTAAGAGGTTTTATGTTTACATTCCACAACATTCCACATCTCAAACTATTTTTCCCAGTATAAGATATATTCTTCCTACACGCTGAAATCCAAATCAAACAACTACATCTTTCTGCTTTCCTAAAAAATTAAATGACCTATGGCCAGGCCAGTTGTACAGTTGTACTTTTTAGGCAAGTTACCTGCCTACCTACTTACCTATAATATCCCCAGCCTTTATTTATTTACTTTATTTATTTTTATTTTTTTAAAGACAGAATCTCACTATGTAGCCCAGGCTGGTCTTGAACTTTTGTCTCCACATTATAAGCATGAGCCACCATGCCCAGCTAATCTTACCAACTGTACAAAGTAAGAGTGTGGCTCGGGTTGCAATACTACAGAGTGGGGGCTGAGGATACAGCTCACCAGCAGAATGTTTGCCTAGCATGTATGCTCAATCCTCAGAACCAAAGCCTAACTACATAAGCTAATAAATGGAAATTTTACAGTACTACAGAATTGACTTCATTCTTTTAAAGAATGGCATGAAAGAACCAATTCAGAGGTGGGCTTATCACTGAAGCAGCCCCTTCACAGGTGCACTGTCCTGGAACCCTTACTGAACCCACAACAGCAGCACAGAATTCCACTGACTTGCATACAGGTAAGTAAAAGCTGTTTTTTTTGTTCATTTGTTTTAAACCTTTCTTCATTTTGATAAAAGTTTACAGCTATCATCAGCTGATGGTTAATTTGTGAATATATTTATTAATAGAAGTTCCTAAAAATTACCTTCAATGCCTCTAAGGACAAAAATCCAAAGTGAGAAAGGAAAAGACGGGCTGTTTGGAATTCCTGGGCTGGAGGTGGGGGCTTACAGTCTGTAACAGGGTCAGGGAAGCTTCGCTTCTGCAATTCCCCCTCGCTTTGCTGCTCCAGGTGCATCTCATAAGCAATCTGCTGTGCCATGCCACTTCTTAATTTTTCATGCCTCTCTTCTAACTGAAATGAGTCAGATATTTTTAAAACATTTCCTCAAAACAAAGTTTCTTTTAATTTTAAAAGAAAAATACAGCAAAACACAACAAAGAAAATGATTAAGTTTTGTTGATCAACATTGTTTCAGTTAAACATAGAGCATAGAATTAAGCGAACATGGTTCAAAGTTAGAACTATATCCAAAATTCTTCCCCAGGACATACATAATTGCTTCTTCATCTCCCGCTGTAAAGGACACTATATCTCTGCTCTTAGCAGTTATCTTACTTATCTTCACCCTGCAGAACCTATATTCTTAAAGTACTTACACATATGGATTCCTTAGCTTCTGATCAATTCTACTTTAAAGTTTCACTCCTTCATGCATGAAAAAAATCTCTTAACAACCTGGCTTTTAATAATACAACCACCTCAACCTTCACTATTGAGAACATGCATAAGCAAATGCTCCCAAGCCTCAGATGTGAGCACCTTTCAAGGGTTGTATTTTCCTCTCCAATCCTAATCCCACTTCTTGTACTATTCAAATATCCATCTTTACTACCAGAGTTTGATCATGTTATCATACTACTGAAACCTATTGTGAACAGCCCAAGCAGCCAAGGACCCTGTCTCTAAAAGATGTTTAGTTATCGATTGGTCCAAATCTACACACCCATCCTCTGACACATCAAGCTTCTGATGGCAGAGACCCAAGTCACCTTCTGCTTCTCCTCCCTAACACTAAAGGCAATGCCTGACCACAAATACCACCAAACAATATTTGCAATTGTCCTTTCAGTAGGAGCTAACATTAACTTGTCTTACTTCTTCAGTGACAATTTCATGTAAATCTGGAATGCTCAAGTCTGCTTTCACAAAAGGAATCTTGTCCACCTCTTCAGGAAATGGTCGATGTTTCACAGAATATTTAAATCCAACATCATTTTTAGGAAGTGGGCGAGGTTCAGGCACAAAAACCTGTTAAAATAAAACAAATGGCATTATGGGCATTACACATCATCCAACCACCACCACAATGCCATGTCTGGCCATGCCCCTCTCTGGTCTGCTTTGATGCTTCTATTTTCCTAGGCATGCATATCCTCAACACTCAGCAGAATCTGCACATGCTGTGCTAATGATACAAGTGTGTATTCAATTTCATTTTTCTAAAAATGTTTGTCCACTTAATAGATTTCATGACTAATAAATAGCTTGCAGACCTCTACTGTCCAAGCCTCAGTCATCCACATTCGACAATTAAGGCAGTTTAAAGTTTTAAGACTGCAACTTCCTTAAACACATACACTGTCCTAGCTTTTGTTTTGTTTTGTTTTGTTTTCAGGACAGAATTTCTCTGTGTAGTCTGTAGAACTAGCTCTGCAGACCAGGCTGACCTGAAAGTCAAAAAAATCCACCTGCCTCTACCTTGGGGATTGAAGGTATGTTCCACCAGGCCAGGCCCCATGGTCCTAGGTTTTATCCCCAGTGCAAAATGAAAATAAGAACAAACAAAAGACCATAGAACCAAACTTTCTTCCTAAGAGCTCTCAAGTTGTTTCACTCTCCACAGTAAAATATAAGTTCAGTTCCACAGTATCTCTAAAAAACGTGTGTTCAGTTAGAACTTTAGCTGGCTTAACTAAGAGCATGGGCCCAAATCTAGTTCTTCACGGCCCCAATGTGCTGTCCTAGTATATACACACTGACGCTTTCCTAATCCATCCTTCCCCCTTTGAGTCTTACAGAGCTACCCATAGAATGCAACCTGCTCGCTCACTAACAGATACAACTCACCTGTTAAATTAAAAGAGAATCCAAATGATGGCAAATTTCATTGTAGTATTTAAAAATAATTTTTAGTAGCATAAATAAATTCTTAAAAAGTAATAATTTAGCGGGGATACAAAGTGTATAAATTGTAATAAATAAATATATAAATAAAACTAAACTTTTAAAAAATTAATAATTTAAAAATATACAAAATACCTTATTCAGAAAGAAAAGTGATTTGAAGAAAACTCAGTGAAATATTAACTATTGAACTATGACTAGCTTCCTCTGAAAAGTGACTACAGGTGATTTAACACTCTTTCTTTCTGAATTTTCCAACAAGCAGGAAATATTCACATAATTTTAAATGTGATAGTACAGTAAAACATATAGCATATTAACATAAAGAATGAATCATGCAAAACAATGTTAAACCTCTCAAAGGTGTATGGTATACATCTGACTTTTAAAGTTGCATAGAAATACCTGGGACTACTGTTTAGTAGTCCTTATTCCTCACTGAGTATCAGGATCACCAGGAAAGCTTCTGAAAACTATCCTTGTTTTAAAAGTACCTGTAAGAAGTTCAATAGACCCAGAGTTCTAGGTTCCTAAGATGATTCCAAAGTAAATTCAGAGACAGAGGACCAGGCTAGGGACCCAAAACATTCATGTGACCTGTGACTTTCTGTTGGAATGTTATTTAATCTTTAAATCACCCCACACACAGATGTACACACGCAATCATATGCACCCATGTATATGTACTCACGCACACACTGTAACTTCTGATGTACCTTCTGATTTGCTTTTGCTCCTCTGGGTAAAAGGCAAAGCTGCTGAGCCCAAGCAAGTCTTCCAGACATTCCCCGGACCAGCACAGTGACAGAGGGGAAAAAATCATCTAGAATAAAATGTATGTATAGAAGCTTTTACTTCAGATAGCAACCATTTAACATATAACCTGCTAACACCTGTGGGACATCTCATGATTAAAGCCCTCACTCAGGGCCTCTGAAAGTGCAATGCCACAGCTAAGTACCACGAGTACTACTGCCCCACTCTGTATCAACCAGTCCATTTTAACTGTCCTAACATCCTTGCATACCTCTATACATGTATTTTGGTGGGATCGTATCTATCATAGCAAACACTCTTAAACTTACAGTGTTGAAGACAACTTTTAAGAAAAAAAAAAAAAACAGGTTGGATCTCTGCAGTGTTGACATTAATTACATTTGCTCACAGACTGGGATCCTGCTGCCTACTGGAGGCAGGCACTGTTTCCTACCAGCAGAAGTTCAGGGATGGAGATGTGTATTAAGAACTCAGAATCCTTTTTATTGTCTCTCTTTGTCTCAGTCATGGGAATTAAAATTGGTTCAAACTCTCTCATTTCTTCTGTTATTAACTATCTCAAAAAACAAAATACTCTTATAATTATATAAAACTGTTTTGTTTTGTTTTGTTTTTTTGTAGACTACCTATGCAGTAAAATTACTTGGAATAGAGCAAGACAATCCTAGAGAAAAACAAAACAAAAAACCCAGAAAGCTTAAAGGGGACACTAGGATTTCACAGGCTGCTCAGCAGTTGCTTAGGTCGGTAGGGTTGTAGAATAATAAAAAGTAAGCAGCAGGGAGAACAAGCCAGGTAAGCCTTAGCTCTGAGGTAAAGAAGGTAGAGTTGACCAATGATGAATGGTGCCATTCTATTTCATACTAATATCACTAAATTTAAGGATGACATGATGAAAATTATGTGATAGTATCCTTCTGTTACGATTAGGGCCAGGTCTCTCATTTTGTGGAATTATGACATCCTACTTACAGTCAGCAGAAGCTGTACAGGAATCAAAGACTCTGTTCACCTTTACATGTGTCTTTAGTCACTGAGGAAGCCCTACTGTGGTAGGACAATGACAGAAAATGGTATTGTCTGGAAAACCTGGATTTGAATCCTAGTTATATCCTTCTCGAGTTACCTTAAGCAAAGCACACACCCTGTGAGTGTCAAAACTGACTGGGGGACAATATATGTCTTGTGAATGAACAATCACTAAAATGGCTTCAGCAGACCACATGTTTAAGGATGAACACTATGGTGCAAGGAGGGCAGTGGTATAGGCAAGCAAATTTCTGAACTGCCAAAGGGGACATCAGACCAGATAGAAGGAAAATGCAACAAATCAACATACGAAATTAATAAGGCCCTCCATTTAGATGTATTGAGAGGAATATAAAGAAAAAAGTCAGAGTCATTGGGACGGATGAGACAGTGAGGCTAATTATATAAGAAAGTAACAGGAGGAGGAAGCAAAGATGACTTTTCAAACTTCTAGTCTTCATGGGTAGTAATAACTGCAACAGCAGTGATAGGGGAAGGGAGTAGTGCAGGATCCAAGATTTACAAGAAGAGTGAAAATAATTTTTTAAAATAGCAAATATAAAATATCTCACTAAGGTAAACTTCATATAAAAGTTTGACACACTTCAATATCTCAGCATACAAAAAAAAATCTTTAAAACATTCTACTTCATATGCATATTCTATATTCTGACCTCTGTTTCTCTGGTGATGTTATCCTATAGCATCAAGTCTTTGACAAACAGTTACTTTGAATTCAGTCTTTGCTTCCCTGACAGAACTGAGAATACACTGTTTGAGCAGTAGAGAAAGCTAAGAGTGCTACAACTTACTCTGCTCATTTCCAAGTGGTTGCTCCAGCATTGCCAGGATGACACTGTTATCCAAAACAAAGTACCGGAAACTATGCTTGTTTATAGTTGGCAGCCTGGAGTATTTGATCAGAGTGGTCTCATTCACCAGACTACAAGGAGAGGCAGGACCACTGGGTGAAGGAAATGCGCCAAGCAACTGCATGATACTACAAAGAATGGAATAAAAGACAATTAATTCCAAAAGAAAATTCTAACTTTACCACCTGGATTTTTGTATCCTTCTGCCTTTCTGAATTAACTGAACAGAGCTATGCTTCCTCTTCACAGGTCAGATTTACTCCCCGTGGCATGCTGGGTAGAACCTGCACCCCTAGAAGGAAAGCCACTCTCCTAGAGTCAGGCTGACAATAGCCACAGCTTTCAACAAGCCTAGGAACTGCCCTCCACCATGGATGCCTCACACAGGACCACTGCTTCTTTCTAGGACATACCACAGTCCCTGGTTAGTAAGGCTCCTAGGTCCCAGGTCCCTTCCAGCTGGAGAGAACACTGGGAATCAGATCAGCTTGAGCATTTTGTCACAACTGCCTCCACTTGCAGCAGTTTTGGTCCTCCACCTGCCAAGTCCTGTTTCTTCCTAACAAAATACTGCAAGCAAATTTCTCTCTGTTATCCAGGAAATACCACTGACTACAGTTCCAAATCAGGAAGGTCCTAAAGGCACACTTAAAACCATGCTTGTGTGCTCCAGGTTTCAGGATTATAACAGCCAAAGTATCTTGGGTCTAGAAAAGGACATAGAAATTAGCCAGAACCCCTCACTTTTTAGATAAGGAAACTTAAGACTCCTAAGAGCTAACTGGTCGTTAAGAGGACAAAAACCAGGGCCTGCTGCTTTCTTCCTGAATGGCCAGAAATAGATATATCCTCATTTCAGGTAAAGAACTTGAGACACTAATAGTTAAATCTCAAAAAACTGTCATAAGTAAATCTATGATACAAAATGTTTTATAAAGGATAAGAAAAAAATAAAATTAAAAAAAATGCTTTATAAAGCAGAGTTCTACTGCTCAAGACTTACCATTTAGAAATGTTTGATTGTGTGTGTATACAGGGTATGTGTATACACTTGTGTACACACACACACACACAGAAAGAGAGAGGGAGGAAAGATTTCTGTAAAACTGTAACGAATTTAGTAACTCACCTAGCTCTCATTTTATGCCAAGTACTGTTCCAGGCACTTTATATACATTTCTCATATGGGTTCATAATAACCTTATGAAATAAGTATCATTATTATTTCCATCTTTTATTACCCTCATTTGTAATAAGAAACAGAGGCTCAAAGAAAAAACATTCTATATTTAAACAAAAATATTTTACCATGTACTATCCACCTGGCCCATTTCTCAACATTTTTGTGTGTGCATATGCACATGTGCGTGTGTTGCATGTGTGTTATATGCATATGTGAGGGGTGTGCATATGTGGAAGACATGAAGAATCCTGTTCTATCATTCTCTACCTTAATCCCTCAAGACAGTGTCTCTTAATGAATGGGAACTAGGCTGGCAGCCAAGAGGCCCCAGTGCTCCTCCTGTCTTTGCCTTCCCTTCTAGGCTTAACCTCTAGTGAGGTTACAGGTGCACATCGCCATGTCTAGCTTTTCACATGAGCACTGGAGATCTGAACCCAAGGACTTATGCTTGTGCAGCAAGTGCTCTTACTCACTGACCATCTCAACTCTCAACACCATTTTTGCCACTCATCTTCAGCTTGGATGGCCTGGCCTCAGCTCTCTAAGGTCTCTGATAATAGAAGGCACTGTGTCTGATAATAGAAGGCAGATGTTCTCCTTACAGTTTTCTCTCCTCCTAGAAGTACTGCTACAATTCAAGGAATGAGGGAACTTGGTAAATTCAGTACTCTAATAACTGGGAGACATCCTAGGAGACTAGGACTGAGAAAATACAGCTTTGGCTTTCTCCATGGAACAGAGCCAGAAGTCACAAAGCACAAAGACCTGGTGAGCTTGTCATGTCCCATGTAAGGTCTACGATGTTATCAAATAGGCTGCTGTTAGGTCACTTAGATGAAATATTACCAGTCTCACCACATTCTTCTCTCCCTGTAGGAGACTAGACTGGAACTGTGAGTAAACATCTATGAAATGAAGACAAGCACTTGACTGTGTCATGATAAAGATTAAAATTCCTTATGAACCTCTGGGGGAAAGTCTCCGCTGGTATGCTCTGAGGTTCAACCTCTGCTTTCTATAAACAATGTTCTGGTAAGAATACACAATAGAAACTCATAATGCTTTGTTCATGCTTGTAATACCAGCAACCACAAAAGCTGAGGTAAGAGACTGCCATGAATTTGAGGTCAGTGGGTGAAGACCACTGTTATCAATCCCAACAGAGTTGGGTTATATGGTAGAAAGAGGAAAGACTCTCAAAGTTGTCTTCTGACATGCACAGGCCCATGCACCATACAAATACATGTTTTGTTTTTTTAATGGCACATGTCTTTAATCCCAGCACTCATGAGACAGAGGCAGGCAGATCTCTGTGAGTTCAAGGCCAGCCTGGTCTACACAGTGAGTTCTAGGACAGCCAAGACTGCAGAGTCTTAAGGGTGGGGGGAAAAAAGCAGAATAATTAAGAAAAAACAAGAACAACAACAACAAAAAAAAAACAACCCTACAATAGACAAGAACTTAATCTACAAAGATCATATATCAGAATAAGAGTTAGGATTTAAAGAGTACAGAAAATGTGGAATATCTTACAAAAAGACATTCAAACACTCCCAAGCAATTAAGCATACAATGAGAATAACAGATGAAAACGAAACATGAAAAAGACTGCAAGAGTCCAGTTAACTTAATGAGAGTCTCCAGCGTTCAAGTCTTGCTGCAGTCTCCCAAGAGATGTTGATGATATTCACTGTTCTAGAGTTTGAAGACAGTCAGATCCCCCAGAGAACACTATACTCAGTGTTCTCTGAGGATATTATACTCAGAGATAATGAGATATTATACCTGTGAGTGATACATGGTCAGAGCTATGTCAGCTGAGTGACAGAATAATAAAGGTACTCAAATCCACGTAATATGAAAACCATGCAGAGAGAAGCAGCCTTGCTAGGCCACAGAGGAGAACATTGCAGCCAGTCCTGATGAGACCTGATAAACTAGGGTCAGATGAAAGGGGAGGAGGACCTCCCCTATCAGTGGACTTAAAGAAGGGTAGGGAAGAGATGAGGGAAGACGGGTGGGATTGGGAGGGAATGAGGGAGAGGGCTGTAGATGGGATACAAAGTAAATAAAGTGTAATGAATATAAAAATAAGAATTTAATTAAAAAAATAAAAAAGAAAAAGAAAAGCACATGAAGGCACTAGCAGAAAGTAACAGAGCAACATGAACACTGTTGTTGCATACTGCTGCTGCCTGGAGAAAGCTTTCACTACCAAAAGTCTGAGTAAGAACCAATGAGAATTAGTTACCATGTGAGATTTTGGTTTGATATAAAACATCAAGCTTTTAATAACTTAACAAAGTTGGAAATCTTAGCGGCAGACTATAAGCCCCAACTGAAGGCTAAGCATTTAGCAAATATGCCTTAAGCAACAATACCACTGAAATGACTTTTGAATTTATATGCCAAAGTCAAGAAATCCAACCTATTAATATGTACATTTTAAAGGTTATTAAAGACAGAATGGGTATGTACCAAATAAGTTCGGTATGACTGTGACAGTAAGGAAGTCCACAATATGTGAGACAGGTCAGACAGTGAGTGTAGCAGTAGTGAAAATAGTTGTGCTTCAAAAATCAGAGTAACAGAAGGAGGTTCCTATGAGTAGACAGATTTACTGCGAGCATGGAAAGTATACAATGTTGCCTGAAATGCAAGAGAATATATAAGCAGGTACGAGCATGCCCAGTTTACCACTACAAGTGCTCGGCTATAGCAAGGGAGTGCTCAGGAGGAGCAGTGGAAAAAATCAGATCATCTCCCTGACCCTCCACTGGAATTCAGGTAAGGTAGGAAACAGGAGATCTAGTCAAGGTTTTTAATCACTCAAGCAGTAGAATGAATTGGTGTTTAAGGATGATAAGTTTAGCCACAGAGTACAAGACAATTAAGAGGCTGGACCTAGTGCAGAATATTATCTGGGGCTTCAGGGGATGGTGAGAAGACCTTTTAAAGACTGTCTATTTGGACTCAGTTGCCGGCCTCATGAATGAGAGAAAAAGCTAACTGAAAACAATGCTGATAGCTGGGCATGGTGGCGGACGCCTTTAACTTAGCACTTGGGAGGCAGAGGCAGGTGGAACTCTGTGAGTTTGAGGCCAGCCTGGCCTACATAGTGAGTTTCAGGACAGCCAGAAATACACAGTGATACACTGCCTCAAAAGGAATCAAAACAAAAGAAAACAAAAAACAATGGTGATGCTGACAAAAAAAGGCAGCAACTGTAAGAGAAAACAGAGAAACTGACTGGAAACATGTCCTACCATGACGGAACTCTGCACTGCTGAAAAGTGGAAACTAAAGGCATCATGATGGACTTGCTAACAGAGACAAGAAGAGTAGAAAATGAAGATAAGAGCCATTCAGATCATTTCAATCTGAGGGAGAAAGACCCCAGGCACAAAGCCAGGCCTCAGCAGCAACTATGACCCTAATGGAACAGTGAGGCTAGAGTAGACAAACTTCTTGCAGCATGAAGAACTCAAGAACTCCTATTGAGCAAGGTCCTCTCTGCTCACCTCGTAGCCTTCTTCTTCCTGGTATCCATCAAGTCCCAGGGCTATGGCACTTTATGGTTGCCCAAGCCTACACGTAGCACAAGTGCATGCTCTCATAGCTATCTTCACCAATTTTCTAGCTATTAGAAAAGAAAGGCACTGAAAGTCTAGCCGCTAACACAGTGCACAGTTCTAAACAAAAACAAACAACCTGCTGAAAATTATGACCTAAGTCCAAGAAGAACAGAAACAAATTCAACTAATCTAAATATACTCCAAAGAAGCAAAGAGTACTGTGCTCCCAAAAGATGTCAGGATCTTGGGCAAAGCTGGCTTACACACAAATCTACTCACTGGACACTCTGTGGTTCTGTTTTCCTAGGTTTTTATTCACAGTCATCCCTGCATGAGCCACATCTTTACACAGTCTATGGATCTATTTAATCTCTACTTATTCAGTCCCTTCAGTCTGTAGATGTGGCCAAACACAATCCTCTTTGCAGTCCCCCCATTCACCAGGTACAAACTCTTTCTGCCAACCTTTCAAAGAAACAATCTCTTGCTTCCATGTGATATACATTCTTAATTGCCTACAACGGTGCTCACAAGTCAAATGTTACCCATACTCTCAGCCCAGGACAATGTGGTTCCCCCTAAGCATGTTTTCACTTTATCTCAAAGTATTCACTTCCTCCTCCCAGTCCCCTGACATTTTATTTGTATTTCTTCTTGTATTTCTTCTTCTTTGGGGCACTTACTATCCACCTAACACTGAAGAACTTTGTATTTCTATTTCATCTTCCCTACTGAACCAGATGGTGTTCGTGGTAATAACTGAATCTGACTTATCTGTATGATTCTATTACCAAGCTCTTACAAGGAAGTTAAAAAAATGTTAGGTGACTATAACATAAAAGATGTAGTAGAGACCAGCCCTGGGAAGCAGATACAGCTCATCTCTAGGCTAAGAAAGGGAAGAAGTAACTTCAAGATACTTTTGGTTCTAACATGATCCGGCCTGAGTTAGTATCAGCCAGTACGAATATACAAAGATCCCAACTCTCTGGTTTCTTGCTGGTCTAAGAATGAGTTCAAAGAATATTTCTTTTCCATTTTATATCTGGAGATGCAGCATCCTACAGGGGCTGAGTTACTCTGTGCTCAACAAGGAAGACAGAGCAGCAGATGCCACTGCTGCCCTGTCTGTTACAGCTCAACCTTCAGCAGCTGTTTCCATACCATGTTAAAGTGGCTTCTGCAGCATCTTTTACCCTCATGGATGCAGGGTTTGGCTCCTTGTCACCTTTGTACTTGACCTCTTGCTCACTGTTCTTGGACTTGCTTCCTGAGATACCCAGTTCTACAATCTCCAGTACTTCCTTAAGGCAATCCTAGAAGCAGGGAAAGACAGAATGATTTTTAAAAACATTTCAAACACACATTTTATTTAAGAGAGAGTGTATGTGTATTTGTGTATAAGCTAAGGTCAGAGAATAGCTTTTGAGAGTTGGTTCTCTCCTCCCAACATTTGGGACTCAGATATCAAACTTAAGTCATTAAACTTGATGGCAAGCACTTTTACCTGCTGAGCCATCTTACCAGATCAATTAACATCAACTCCAGATCAATTACTTAAGAGAAGACATAATATAATAGTGTTTGTTTTGGAGGTGGAGCTCGAGTTTCTAGTTTCCAGTTCAGAAGGAAACTAAAGACAGGCTTTAATTTTATCAGTTATAGAGCTCACAAAATTACTGTGGACTGTCACAAACCCTGAATAGCTACGTAAAATAGATTCAGAAGTAATTTAGTCAAACCCAGATGGTTTAAGACACATCAGACTACCTAATATATAAGAGGTTATTTATTTTTTGAAAAGGATCTCACTAGGGACCTCAGGCCCTTCTCAAATTCACTATGTAGCCCAAGCTGACCTTGAACCTCTGCTTCTTAAGTGCTAGCAGGTGCCACCATCCCCAACTCCAATGACTGACTCTTAAAATAATTTCCTTTTAAAATTGTTTTATATAACAGAGTTTCATGTAGCCCACGCTGGCCTCTAATTCATTGTGTAGCCAGACTTAACCTTCTGATCTTCCTTCTTCTACCTCCCAAGTACCTGGAATTACAAATACACACATTCATAGCTGGTTTGTATAGCACTAGAGATCAAACTGAGTCCTTCATAAATACTTAGCAAGCATTCAATAAACATATCTGTAAGTCCAGTCCTGTAAAACAGTTTCTAAAATCATAACTTTAAAAGCCACATGAAAACTCAGATTTAATTAACAATATTACTTACAAAGATCTCTATAAATACTCAGTGACCCTGGAAAGCTCTACTGTCACTGAGCTTATTTAGCCTGCGTCCCTGTAAAGTACAGTGACATAGAAAACAGACTAGATAGCTGTGCCCACTTAAAAATGCAGAAACCTGTAAGAAATACAATGTTTCCATAAAAATAACTCTTACAGCTAAGCTGTGCCCTAGCTTTGCAGATTCACAATTAGGTGCCCTTCTTTGTTTGATAATAGGAAACAAAATAGCTTTAGTATCTATCTCCAGTCTGTCATGCTAGTATTTTTTTCAGATAGAACAGTTGTACATATGAGCTCACAGCAACTGGGAAAGCATACACAAGACTTAAGCTCAAGCCAAACAAAATTCCAACATGGAGGTGGCAGAAATGGACAAAAAATATTATCACTAGCTGGGGAGCTACTGGCCTATGGGACTGTAGATGACAGGTGCTAGGACAAGTAGAATCAACTTTCTTTAATGATATGATCACTGGTAACTTGACCATACTACAGGGCAGGCCCCACTCCTAAAAGTAGCTAGGAAACACAAACTGGACTTAATAGAGAGAAACAACAACAACAAACAAACAAACTCAAAATTGGGTAGGTAGGAAAGTGAGGGTAGAGAGGATAGAATCTGGTGAAAGTGGATAAGTATGTCTAAAATACACAATATGAAATTTTACAAGAATTAATAAAATTTTTTATAAAAGAAGTCATGCTAGTTCAGATGAACTAGGCAAGGTCTTCTTTTTCATAAAGAACTTCTCTATGGGATTATTTGGAATCAAATCTAAGCATACTGACAGTTTACAAATTATGTTCAAAAGAGTTAAGTATCTTACTGAAATCAAACAAGTAAATTCAAAGTATGTGATACTGTATTTAAATTCAGATATTCTCTTTTAAAGGGCATTTTGTCAACAGTTTCATTCTTGCTTGGTGTTTTAAGACTGAATCAGCTCACCTTTTCATCCAGCATATCAGGGTGTTCTGTCAGCCAGACACAGAGACACTGAAATGCTGCCACTATCATGGAGTGCAGATCCCGGGAGTGAAGAGGAGCTGGCCGACTGCACTGGTATACAATATAACTGCATACAGAACTGATGGCACGCTTCCGGTCTCCTGAGTCAACCATCACCTTCACCTAAGTATGTCCATTTAAGGAACAGAACCAGTTAGTCAGGAACCAGTACACCAAGCATTTGCCCTGCAACTGAGCCTGTCTGACAATGTGATATACACGAGGCCTTGGTTTTAAATAGTATTTATATACAGGAACAGAAAATTCCAGATATACCATTGCATACAACAACAAAAAAAGTAGCATTCTCAAACCCTAAAACAGTACTTTACTCTAGCATGGTTGTTTACACCTTTGTTGCAAAATGTGCAGGAATGGTCAGCAAAGAAACACATGCATTTTTAAAGTCCCTAAACCCAACCTCATAGTGATGGGTTTTGCTCTGTACAAAGTATAGTGAAACATAGCTTAGGAAGTTCAATTATCAATTACAGTAAGTTACATATGTTCAAAGTAAGTAACCTCAAAGAATTGTTACCATAATCAGATAATGCACAAACATCACCCCAAATCTCCTCATGCACCTTTATAAGTTTCCTCCCATTTCTCTTGCTCTCCTCTGTGAGAAACTGCTTATCTGCTATCACAATAGATCAGAATATATTTCCTAAAGTACATATAAGTTCAACAGTACCCATTTCGGGGAAGGGTATTTAGCTAGCTTCTTTCTTCTATTCAGCATAATTACTTCCAGATGTATCTATTTTTTTTGGTAATGTTTCTTTTTATTTAGCAGTATTCTAGTACATGAATATAGCACAATTTGGCTACTCAGTAACCTGCTAATGTTCATTGGGGTTATTTCCAATGTTCATTTGGGTTATTTGTAAAGATTACAAATATAGTTGCTATGAACACCCATGTCATTGAATGGATATATGTTCTTTCACATACTGGGACTGGAATGACAAGGTCATAAGATACAAATGTGATTAAATGTTTGTTTGTTTAATTTTTATGTGCACTGGTGTTTTGCCTATATGTATGTCTGTGTGAGGGTGTCGGATCCTCTAGAACTGGAGTTATAAACAGTTGTGAACAGTTCCCAACAATTCTGCTGGGAATTGAAACCAGGTCCTCTGGAAGAGCAGTCGGTACTCTTAACCACTGAACCATTAAAATTTTAAGGATCTTCCAAACTGTTTTCCAAAGTTGTTATTCCAATTAACATTCTCATTAACAGTTTCCTTATATCCTCATCAACATTTGGTACTGACAAGACTTTTTAAATTTAGCCTGACTTTGTTTCTTTGTGTATGCATGGCATATGCATATATGTACATGTGTATGTAAGTACATGCATCTGTGTATATGCAGAGGCCACAGGAGGACTGCTGAATGTCTTCCTCTGTCACAGTGGATCTCAACCCTACTAATGCTGTGACCCTTTAATACAGTTCCTTGTGTTATGATAACCCCCAATCATAAAATTATTTTTGTTGCTACTTTGTAACTGTAATTTTGCTACTGTTATGAACTGTAATGTAAATATTTGGGTTTTTCAAAGGTCTTAGGCAGCCCCTATAAAAAGTTATTCAACCCCAAAGGGGTTGTGACCCACAGGTTGAAAATCACTGTTCTATTGTTTTCTACATTATTCCCTTGAGATGGAAGTCTCAAGGTTCCTGTCTAAAGCTTGCTGTTTCAGCTAGGCTGACCAGCTAGTAAACTCCTGAGATCTGCCTATCTCCACCTGCCACTCTGAGATCTATGTGGTCATGCCTGGCTTTTTAAGTGGGTGCTGAGGATCTGAATTCATATTCTTTTGCTTGATTAGCAGGCACTCTTACCCTGAGCTATACTCCTAGCCCTCCATGTTAGCCATTTTATTGAGTATGTAAAAGTATTTCATTATGAATCTAATTCCATTTCCCTAGCAACTAATGATATCGAGGTAGGAAAACTCACCTTAAAGGAGAGTGGCACTATTCCCTGGGTTTGGGTCCTGGACTGCATAAAAAGGAGGAAGCCAGCTGAGCACAAGCATTCATCTGCTCTCTTCTTTCTGACTGCAGAGTCAACGTGACTAGCTGCTTCAAGCTCCTGCCACCTTGACATCCCCGCCATAATGGACTGTACCCTTGAACTGTGAGCCAAAATAAACCCTCCCATCCTTCAGTTGCTTTTGTCAGGGTATTTTGTCACAGCATGAGACAAGTAACTAATACAACTTTACATTCATACTCAGGAGTATGTCTCACTGATGAGCAGGCAAATAAACAATGATAGTTACATTCAGCCCAATGCTGTGCAACCACAAAAAGGGGCTGAATCTTAAAAAATTACATCAAGTGAGACATATTCCTGAAATGACACACATTGCATCATTTTCATCCTGATCTTTTTGTGTGAACAGTCCTTATTAGGTAGATGCAAAGAAATAAAGTGAAGACCAGTAGCTGTCAGAGGAAGTGGTGGTTGGGAGGGTGGTAAGGGAGCAACTGCTTCGAGGCTTAGGGATTTCCTTCTGAAGTAACAAAAACACTTTGAAAGTATAGGTGGTAGGTTGCACTACACTGCAAATGTACTAGTAGGCATTGAATTACTTGCTTTAAAATGGTTAGTTTTATGTTTCAGAAAGAAAACAAAAGACACTGAGGTGTTAAGAGTGATTGGACTCCACTTCTAAGGTTCCATAAAACTGAAATAACTGAGAGAAAGTTGACTATATAGTCAATTTTTGCTCAATATTGGTAACAGAAAATAGTTATCATAGAAATACTTTATAATAAACTCTTTAGAAAAGCAATAAATATACTATTGTGTACAAATAATCACCAGTACTGAAATGTTTTCTGTACCTGGGCAGAAATACTCATATTCTTTGCTCCTATTTCTCATTTTGCAAAATTTCACTTGGAGGTTCAATTTTGAATACTCTGGATGTAAAATATGCAAGTATACTGACAACACTAAAATGTCCACACAAAGGAGTGTGTGTCAAAAATAAATAAATAAAAGCATGCCGCAGGTCTGAGCTAAAGTAAGAGCTGTCTTACCTTTGCCAGGCCAGAGAGGAGCTCTAGAGCAGCCAGGGAAATGCTCATATCTTGCCGCCACTGGGAGTTGAGTCTCTGGGTGACAAGATGGATGCTGCGAATCAGGAGGCCAGCAGCTGAATCTGTATTAAGAGCTAGGATATAACCCAATGCCACACCCACAGGGAGGGAAAACAACTAAGCATTAGTAACAGAAGCACAGCATTCCGCCAGGCACAGACCACAGCAGCCACAGTGAGCACAATGGGCACCCACACAGAGCTATGCTTCCCGCCCACCAGCCTGAGCACCAGGCCTGATGGTGCACAAGGCACACAAGGGGCTGGGCTAGCTTCTAGCTCCCAGTCCACACTCTGATAAAGAACACTATAGACTTGGCAGTTTCAGTACAATCCTTAAAATGAAAAATGCCATCTTAAATTTTTAAATAAATTATAACTTATAGAGTTTAGTCTTCAAAAAGAACAATGAAAAGGCACTTAAGTATTTCCTAGAGTTTTACAGAGGGAAGAATTCAACCTCATAGCCCCCTCAGATACTAAGCATTACCTTAAAGCATCTGTTGAAATGACAGGGTTTAAACCAGTAAAACCCACATGCAATGCCTTTTCAAGCCCATATTTACATTTAACTCTGTACCGCTACTTTAATATATTTAAAAAGGTTAAATAACCAAGCCAATGTTTTTACTTGAACTTCAATTTTATATTTAAAGTAATTGTTACTTAAAGAGTGAATTCCAAGAAATTAAACTATGATAAATTAAATTGTAATTATAAAGGAAGCTTTAGGGGCATTATACCTGTGGATCCTATCAGAAAGAGGGCAGTGACAACAGAAAAAGGAATGATCATTAAAGAGAGACAGTCATGCGACACTAACACAAATCTGGATTTCTTAGTAAAAATATGACGTAACAAGCAGAAGTCACTAACACCAACTGGAAATACTGGAACAATCACTGCAAACACTTATATGCAACACATGCAGTAACAACAAATTCTCTTTAGCTTTGAAATGCCTTAGAGTGTACTAGAAACGCCCAACCCAGAGAGCCTACATCTACGCAAGAGGTAACAATTTAAATGGGCTGTATGACTCTGTACTTGACATGCTGATGGGTAACATATCATAAACTGCAAGTGAAAGCATGCCCCATGAACACGGTTCATGAATCCTCCAGACGACTAAAAAGTCAAGCTCACATCTAGGGAATTAGATACCCTAATCTCATGGAATAAACACAGATTCAATCACTATTAGCATTTGTTCATAAAAACATAAAGCATTCACACTAAATCCATAAAATAATTGCTCAGTATAAAGGACATCACTAAACAAGATCCTTTGCTGACAGTATTTTATTTAGCAGAGCAAAAAAAAGAAAAGAAAAGAGCCATCTCTTTATTCTAGCTGAAGAGCCTACAAGACAGTTTTAACATGGAGACACATGCTCCTCTAGATCTCCTCTAATTCAGCCTCCAACACTTCCCTCACAACTACAATTATGTGGCTCTGCCATCATTCTGAGAGCTCTGAAGCAAGGCCCACATCTTATATGAGCCTGCATCATCAGCTCCTGGTACAGAACCCAGACCTTTCACCATAAACATCTGTGAGATCTAAAAACTCCAAAACAGAGCTACAAGAAATCATAAAAATGCTTTTTCCTTAGTTTTTTTTTTTAAACTAGCATTTTCTATTATACCTAGGTAGATACATTTTTTTTTTTTGTTTTCAATTCCTAAAAAGTTTAAGTTTTGCTTACTTTGTAAATCTGAGAATTAATACACGTGTAAATGCTAACAGACTGTTTTAAACACAGCTTACCATAATCCCTTAGGAGAGCTTGAGCAGGTCTCTCACTATCAGGTGTTGTAGGTTCTGTGCTTCCTCCACTTGCTGAACTAATGCCACTATTAGTACGACTATGACTCTTCAGGTTATTTTCTCCACCACCCTAGTCAAATGAAAATGAACCAAGATGAGCTTTACAAGTATAAAAAGAAGTTAACTATCAAAATCTTTGTTAGAGTTGAGGCTATGGCTCAAAAAAACAGCACTCGCCTCAAGTGCATGAGGCCCTAGGTTCATCCCTAGTACTGCACATGTTAACAGACTAATTAGCACAGGTGATAAACAGACAAAGGGTTGAAATCATGGTGTTATTGTTGTTAAAAGGTATGCAGGGCTTGATAACTACAGGTATCCATACTGAAGTGTCCTGTGCTGTTTTTCAAAGGGCCACCTTATATGTTAGAGTCCACTGGCTAAAAGACTTTGAGTCATTAAGGAAATTACCTTAAAGCACCTCCAGAGAAAAACTTCAAAACAGGAATATAATCTTCAAATAAAGACAATAGGGGGATGGGAGATGAGCTCAGTTAATACAGTGTTTGCCACTCAAGCATGAGAACCTGAATTTGATCCCCAGAATCTACTTTAGGGGGAAAAAAAGGCCAAAGGAAGGAAAGGGCTAGGGAGATGGAAGAGGACTTGCTACACAAGCATAAGATCCTCAGTTCAAATCCTCGGCAAAGCAATAGCGCAGAATACCTGACATCTTCCTCTTACATCCATGCTCACACCAATACCCACTTGCACACACGTTTGAAAACACACAAACATACAAGCACACCCAGACACATATATCTACACATGCATGGAGACTCACATCCATCTGCATATATGCACACACAAAACAGCAACTTTTTAAATGCAGGTGTATATTAAGTACAAACAATAAGATACTATAGTTAGTATTAATTCCCACACATTTAGGAGCAAATAAACATATCTGTTTCCCCCATATACACAGAACTCACTGCATCTATATCAGCACATTATTAGCCATCTACCAGAATAAGAATAAATTTCCTTAATAATTTTTTCATTAATCCAGTTCACCACATCACACATTATTACCTCCCCTATAGCCCAGCCTTTACCCCAAATTTAACATGCATCTTTAAGAAAGAAGCAAGAGATGCGTCCCATATCTGGGGAGCTTTCTAATTATTTTAAAAGCATTAGCACTTTGGGCACCTGTGTTGGAAGTTTGGTCTGATGGGTGTTACTGGCCCTCAAGATCTGATTACATCTATCCTTGTTTTGTAAACCTAAGACATGCCTGACTGGTTGATTAAACAGCCTATCCCTGGGAGTGGCAGAATGGGATGGGCATGGCTAAGGTTCCTGGGCTTTTGGGTTCAAGAGAGAATAATAGGAATTAGACAGATGGGAAGAGAGGAGGAAGGAGGACACCATGATTTGTTAGCATGGAGAAGAAACCATGTGTGTGAGGAGAAAGGACTCCAATAATGGCATGGAAAGGCCCAGATAAAAAATAAAAGCAAGTATTTATAAGATTATGGATGGAAGATAGTTCAGATGAGTATGATTATGGTGGGATGGCATTGGATGGGGACCGGCAGATGGATGGTAAGGATACTGAGATAGTGTAGATGAAATATCTGCCTGGCCCAAGATAAATAAGGCAATTACAAAATCTAACAGGTGTCTGTGTCTTATTATTTGTGACAGCAGGTTAGATAATACAACTGTGATAATCTTAGGGCTGATAATAAACATTATATAGCCCAATGCTTTCTTTTTATTTACTACAAGACACCTGAAAACTTCTGTTTACAGGAACTACAAACAAAAAAGCAGCTCTTACAGGTCGTCCTGTATCTGTTACGGATAGTAGGAACTAGAAAGGCCTTTCCTAGAACATTGAGACCTGTTGACTGGCACTTCTAAAACAGTCCCAACTGGTGTTTCTCTCATGCAGGATTTCTCAAGGATCTGATGAGGTACTTAACAAGCAAAAATCTCAAAATATGTGATGTTTTAAAATAAGATCTTTCTGAGTCTATGAGCTGAAATTTATAAACAAATGGCTTTAAAAACCAGGTGTGACGGTACAAACCTGTGGAGGGAAGAGCACCAGGAGCTTAAAGTCATCTTCAGCAATATATACAGTTTGAGACTAGCATGGGCTACATGAAACACTGCCTCAAAAAAAAAAAAATAAATAAATAAAAACAATGGGCTGGGGACACAGCTCAGTGGTAGACAGTTTGTTAAGTATGTATGAGGCCCTAGGTTCAGTTCCAGCACTGTCAAATATGATTTACATCAAATCAGAAGCAGATATTCTATGACATATTATATAAGCTTCTTACCATTTCCATTTGGCAACCAATGGCTTCTAAAAGTGCAGAATCCTGAACAATATTTAACATGGCCCCTGCAATAGCAAAACAAACAAAGCCGTTCACATGACACATAATTACAGTAAAATAACTCAGTCAGAGCAAAGAGAATATGATTTGGAAAAAGAGAGGTCATGCACATAACCCCAGAACTTGGAGACCTGAGACAGGACTACTATCTACTATCAACTGAAGCCACCTGGGCTACATAGCAAGTACAGGGCTACAAAGGAAGCCCTATGTCTCCTCCCCTCCCTCTACAGAAAGCTAAGGGAAATTTTGGTAAAGCATTCCTGAAATTCTCTGAGGATTATAAATAAATACATTGATGGGTTAAAAAAGATAATGCATTAAAAATCCCCCAAGTTTTGAAGTGCCTTCAAAAACTGTGTTTTTCACTTATGGGGGGTTGCATACATGTACATGCCACATTCAGTAATCACTTCTCTCCTTCCAAGTTAGGATCCTGGGATGGATCTTGGATCATCAGTTTTGCAAGGCAAGAACTTTAACCCGATAAACTTCTTGCTGCCTGCCTCCAAAGGTCCCCACCCCACTCCTCCAACCACTGCACTGGACTAACCTTTTTACATTCTCTTATTTCTAAAAATGGCCTCTACAAGAGCATTAGTTTTCTCTCTCTCTGATTTAAAACATTTTTCGAACATGTAAATTTTGTGTGCAATTCCCAAGGATAGAATTTAAATGGCTGAATTCTCTTGCTTCTAGTTTTCCTCCTTGGCTTTTTTCTGTTTCCATAGCCACATCAACAGTAACGTGAAAAGATGCATTATCACCTGTTCCTTCAGCTCTTTGTCAAACTAACAATCTACCGTTTACTACTGAGTCCATCTTCTCATAGCCTAACATACCAGACCTCCCAAGTACTCACTCCAATACTAAAAGGAAAAGAGAAGGAAAAAAGCAGGGACAAAGAAAGGGGGAAAAAAAAAGACAACTAAATGCTTTCCTTCTCTCCCCTCATCTCCTTAAATTTATTTTAAATTATTCACTATATTTATATATTTTTTTAATTTGGCTAGAGAAGGGCTATATGCATGCCATGGCATGGGTATGGAGGTCAAAGGACAGCTAAAAGAAACCAGCTCTCTCTTTCACCGTGTGGAATCTGGGATCAAACTCAGTTCTATGAGTCTTGGTAGCAAGTGTCTTTAACCTCTAGACTATCTTGCCAGATCCCTTAAATCTTTTTCTATAAAAAGCAAAAAACAAAAACAAAAAACTCTACTTTTGATTCAGAAACAGTAACAGTTGAATTAGGCTTAGGGCACTCTGAGCTATGTTCCCAGGTCATTAGTACTTAAGCTTCACTTAGCAAAAATGAAACAAAACAAAACTGTCCGGACACAAACCTAGTATCATTTGGGTGTTGTTAGGGTCTGTTTCCGTTTGCAAGGCACCTATTAGTATATTCACAAGTCTCAACTTCAGGGACAGAAAAGTTATTGGTTTATCGTAAGAAGAGCTGTCATCATTACTAAACTTTCCTTCTAGGACCACCTGGAAGAAAAAAAAGAAACTAACATCAGCCACTGTACATGATGACCAATTAGGAAAGAAGAAGGGGACAAGAGGTGAACAGGCTAATGATCCAGGCTTCCAGTCTAATTGTAGCTCCCATTTGACACCTGTGGGAAACACATGAATAGTAAACCAAGATATGTTGGTACTTCCAAAAGAAAAAAATACTCAAGCCAGAAAATATTCATTAATCCATTAGAAATGTGTATTTTTAAATATTTGTTTGTTTATTTAATGTTGACACAGGGTCTCACTGTATGTATGGCCTGGCTGGCCTCCAACTCACAAAGCCCCATCTGCTTCTACCTTCCAGTGCTGGGATTACCGGCTTGTGTGATCATGCAAGGTTAGAAAATAACTGTTTTTAAGCCCCTGTCCCATTTTGTTAAAAGTGCAGTTTAACTTAAACTAGCATATAAAAACAGAATACAGCATTTTAAAAATGTTAGTAAAGATGGTTGGCAGGATGCTGAGACTGAGGGGAGCTACCTATCAAGACCTTGCATCATGAATAAAGCGGGGGGGGGGAGGAGAATAATTAAAGAAACATTACCTCAGATCTGACTGTGCCAAAATGATGAGGGAGGGGCAGCAAAGAAAGCAGGATATTAATGGATGATCTTCTTAATTCTGTTGGATTTACATAGCTTTTGAATTTTGAGAGTTCTCTGCCAAAAAATAAAATAGTCAATAGTATTTTTCAGCTAAAAAGTAATTTTAGCTACTGCCAAGTACATACTATGCCATTTTACCCATAACCCAAGCACTGCACATATGAGAACTGCTATGTTACACAATTACTGATTAAGCTATAATTTGACTGAAAATGTAAGGCCTACTTTATAACAGTAGGATCTCAGCCTGGGTTTTCTCTGACCCATCTAGACCAAGCCAGAAAAGATCCAGTAAGCCCATGGACATATGAGAACTGAAGGCATTCAGGGACTGAGAGGGTTTGGATGCTCTTTACTCAATTTAATGTAGCCTGGGTCCCATTGGACTGTGAAAACAACTAGATAAGATAAATTAGCGAACAAGAGGAAGTACCAAACAGACCAAGCCTAACTAGACAACTGACACAATAGTAAAGAATGACAGCTTACCTGTCAGGCAAAATGGTTTCAAGAGCTGAAATAAAGTAAGGAACCACAACATCAATCCCTTTCAAGTCACAGCAGAACAAAGGAGGGGAGTTTAGAATAACGCTGGCCAAGACAGGATGGCACATATAATCATTTATCTGCAAACCTTGAATTAAAAGCATGTAAAATCTAGGAAAGCAAGAAAAAAATTTTAAACAAACTGCTGATCAAATGTTTCCACATTATTAATATTTTCTACATGGTTATCTGAAGAGCCTTTGTACACTCTTCACTTTAGTTTCTAGGCTTTCAAGTTCTAGTAGGAGTCAACAACTCAGAATCATAAGATCCATATCTATTAAGCTTTTTTAAAATTTAAAATCTTTACAAAGATTTAATTTTACAAATCAAATTACAGGCGCCTACACGTGTCTACAAAGCAAATGTCTGAGTACTTATCAATAAGTTGGTAGGATCAATTAATCAAATTCTAAAGCAGTAAATGTTGCAGCATTCACAATCCTAAGAAATAGAGGTGAATCTGTATCTTTTTCCTTCCTTCACTGCTTCTGAGGGGTGAGAGAAAAGAGTCCCACCAGACTCTGCATTCCCCACAATATAAAGATAACAGTAAGATTCCTTTGAGGAATCTACCTGAACACACTATCCTTTTCCTACAACTCCCAACCACAACCAAGTCCCTAAGCACCCGTTATTCAACAGCAATTGTACTGCTATACTCTTCTTACCACTAGATACTTCTTCCTGTTCTGCAAAACTTAACAATCTCCTCACTCATGGATGCCTACTCGACTCATTTCAACCCATCTTCTGTGCACGAAACTCAACTAAAAACAGGCATGTAATATGCAGTTCTCAACAAATGGCCCACATGCCCTTAAAATGCAAGACTGAAACTTAAATATATTATTTGTCCTCTCACAAACCTGCTGAGTTTGTCACATGACACCTCACCCAGTCTTCTAAGCTAGAGAGAAAGCTCATGTTCACAGCCTTTTCCCTTACTGCTGTTGATACAATTCTGAATAACTCTCTAGCCCAAGGTCTCCCTCAGAGAAATGGGCCCTCCTTGTGAAGAGTAAACTCCAATACCTATATGCCCTTCTCTCACAGCTACATGAAGCTAAAGGAGAGGTAGGCACCTAATGAAATCTTCTTTCCCAAGAATCTCACATTTCAGAGATGCTAACTGGCCCCACTGGTCTTCTAGACAAAGGGTAGACAACTAGGAACTAAGAAGCACACTGCAGTATGAGAAAATGATCTGCAGAGGAGAATGAAGCAGTTCTAGGAGAATCTGTATCTCTGAATGAAGCACAGGAAGCAGGAGAGTTCTTCTGGCCCCTGAACACTCACCAATCCCTGATTCCTACTTTTTATATGCCTTGCTGTATCATTTGACCTTACACTTAATATTAAGTATCACTAGGATCTTATAATTTATTTACTTTGAATTAAACCAGACTTAAAGATAATAGCCCAGGGTTAAAGTTGTTCTGACCAGTATATACCACGTTTTTCCTATGCCTTATGTTGGTTCCCTCTTTTGAGAGTCAATTTACCACTTTCCTGAGCACCTAGCAATACAATGTTCTACTTGAATGTAACCTTACTTCAGCAGCAACATTAACTAGTAGAGAAGAGCAAAGCAGAATCAAGAATTATAAATTTTGGAAGAGTAACAAGTCTGAAATGCCATGGTGAGAACAGAGTGAAGAGAGAAATAAAGTTAAATGCTACAAGGCAGAAGTCAAATAATCAACTCAAGATAAAGAAAGCAGAGGCAAATGATGCCTAGATTCTGGCCTGAGCAGCTAAATGGATCTCAGAGCCATTCACAAATGGTAGAAGCCAGAGATTTGGAGAAGAGAATTCTACCTAACCTCCCAACAGACTAAACACTACCCATCTTTTCTAAATCTAGTATAAACATCTAATAAAATGCCACAACTCTTTCCTGAACCCTCTAGGCTAAGTATGAGATGTTGCTTCCTCCAACCACTCAAAACCATGTATCTCTGTCTCCTGCCAATTTTTGGTTCCTACTGAAACACTGTAATTTTGCATGAACCTATTCACCACAGTCATTAAACTCCCTGGAGTAAGATTCACAGCTGACTTATTTCTGGACTGTATACAAAACCTACTGTTGTGCCAAAAATCTATTAACAAACTATTGTGGTACTTCCAAATCTCTCCAGAATTTACCAATGATAAAATAAATAACAGATCTAGAATAGAAACTTAGAAGTCTTTACCAGATATGATGAGGCAAGTAAAATGGAAAAATTCAAGCAAGTTTCAATTACATAAAGACAGTGGCAGGCATTTCAGACCAACAATGGCTTACTGATTTAGTCTACCAAGCCAGGCCACAACTGTTTCACCATCAAATGATATAAATGCAAAAATAAACAAAAAAAATTCTAAAACCTGGATAAATAAGCTGGCAGAATCTCTTCTCCAGTCTTCTTGCTACAAAAAATTCTACATAATGTCCCACAAGCCTCAGCTCTTCCTGCTTCATAGTTATCAGGAAATTCACTTGCATCAAACACAGGATTGGAAACCATGGTGTCTGTTGACATTTGGGACCCTTTCCGTCGAAACTCCATGCTAGCTTGTGTTGCAATGGCTGGGGAGAGAAAAGGAGCATTTTATTACTTTTGTCAAAATGCCAAATAGGCTCATGGGACCCTGGACACAAAGATTAAATATTGGTGTCATTACATAACTACTTCAATAGAATGCAATAATGCTTTTGTTTACCAACTGTCTTAATTTATTTTTTAAAGGGCTCTCTGATATCTCCTTTGAAATGGATAGCAATTAGTTTACAATAGCATTGTCAACAGATTCTACAAAAAATATTTTTCATTGAATTTCTGGTCAGAAGACTACAATTGTATACATCTGCATACAGATATATACAGAATTTGCCTTTTCTATTATTTATTTTCTGTTTTTCCTCCTTCTACAGAGTGATGCTTACATATTAAGAAAAGTAGCAATTACAATTTGCACAATTAACCCAAATGAACAAAATAGTTAAGAGGGCACCTGCATGCCAGTTTGAATACTTTATGACATGACAAGGTAAGAATGAGAACTGAGTAAGGGAGGAAGAGAGGGCATTCCCACCACCCCCAGCTCCAAAACACACACCAAAGAGCTGCCCAACCAAGCAAATGAGAATGGATTTTAACAACCACAGACAGCAGCAAACTTGAGGTTGATAAATCAGAAAGTTGGGTTGGTAAGGAGGATTATCATGGTCATTCATTGTCACCAAAACAGAAGCCCTTCGAAAGTTGCTTTTAACAAAAGATTTCATAGCACACAGATCACTCTGAAATCTTTTATTACTCTACATAAAATGTTTAAATTGTTTTGTAATGATAGAAGGCTTAATAGATGCAGAGTCAAGCATAAATCTTTATGCAACTTCCCATGAGCCATTTTAGTCCAGAATAAGCTACCCAGCAATAATACATTTGGAAAACACTACATGCAGAATGCATACAAATCAAACACTAAATCTGTATAAAAATAAGCTTAAAGCTTAAAAAAAATTAAAAAAAATTAAAAAGCCAAAACACAGTTAGTGCAAAGTCCTGGAATTCATGACATGACCAGACTAGTATACAGAAATAATGGGATTGACTCAGGCAGATTAATTTGTTTTTGCCAACAATCTTCCCCATTCAAAACACAGAAAAAAATAGTTTTCTTCCCAAGTGCAAAAACTACAATAGACAATGACAATCAAAAATTTTAATGGAATTATGGAAAAAATAAAAACATGACTGCAATTAAGGAGAAGCTTCTGGTTCCTACTTACAAGATTTATAAGAAAGAAGAATTTGGATAAAAGATGCTGCAAGATAATAGAAATAAATGGAAACAAATCAAAGGACAGCAGTAATTATAAAATACTTTAAAGATGGTGAAATTTTACAATAAATTAAGAAGCTTTTTAGCTTTTTAAAAGTTAGATTCAAAGCTTTACGATACCACAAGCTAATTCAAAAGCATAGGAAACTGTGCATTCAGGTCTGAAATTATGGTTTTGTATCATGCAAAACAATGAACAAAGAAAATTACACAGCTACAAAGAATTGAGGTTTTGAACTGCCCATAACGTGCATTAAAATTTTTAGTTCATTAACCCTTCCCAGCTCAATGTTACTTTTACAAAGCACAATGCATGAGGTAAATTGAAGCTAACAAGTTCAAAGAAGCAAATACTTGAGTTAAAGGTGAACTATGTGGCAGAATTCCTTGATGACAGCCAGTACTTAGAAAACACACGTTACTCCCAACCCCTGTGCCTCCCATCCAAGACTTCAAGACTAGCACTCTAAATCCATTTTAACTATTGGATACCTCAAATTTCCTGGGTAATGTAACAGCCTTTAGCGTCTCTGAATATAGACAGGAGGAAGAGAGTTTCTCCTTTCTCCACCAGGTAGAAGGTTAAGAATGAAAGAAAAGTGAGCTGCTGCTTATCATTTGAATTCTAGTTCTATCTTCTACTGCAGACAAAGCTGTTACAAACTCCCCAGAGATGGAAAGTTCTAGATACTCATTATATAAGCCTACCAGAAAACAGCAGACTGAGCCATGCTAGATTCAGAGATGTCAAGGCCAGCAGCTCCATACTCAACAGTTATAAGAATTATCAAAATAAATAAGTAAATAAATAAATATGTGGCTCGACATGGACAATAACATAAATTAATAAACATGGTTCAGAAAACTCAAATATATGGTATATAACATAATGAAAATATCGCCATGAATGGTTTTTAAAACTTTTCACTTAGTCAAGATCTTTAATAAGTAAATGGTAAAATATGAAGTACCTGAATTTGAACAAACTAAAGCAAGCAAAAAAATTTCCAACCCACTCATGCAGCCTCATATTCCATAACATCTTTATACTTAAAACTTTTCTAGGTTATTTAAAAGTTTCATAAGAACATCCAAAATAGTTACATTTATAAACTATTCACAGGCATAAACCTAGCTGTGAATGAACTTCTAAGAAAAAACAGAGTCCCTCATGAACACCTATTAATTTATCCCTGGATTCAACACTCTCCCTGGAGAATAATACTATCAGAAAGTAATACCATCAGACATCTTTTACCTTAATCTGTCTCCAATGACTGTATAAAAGTATTTTATGTAGAAAACAAATAATATACTCTTTAATACATAAACAAGGTACCTGGCACATACTAACGGCAGCTCAATAAATGCCAGCTATCATTATTATTCAACTGTGCAAGACAGATGATAACCAATCAAAACACTCCGTACTACCTCACCATCCATCTGCACTAGCTCCAAGCATAATAGTAAGATGACAAATCCAGTATCATGCCATAGTAAAATCTAATAAAGATACTAGGGCTGACTTGTTAGTGCTCTGCAAATCTTACAAAGTTACAGAGCAGATCATATTTTCTCTAGGCTAAAATCTGAGATGTTACGGTCTACCATGAAGCAAACAGAAAATTCCTGATATTTACATGCGCTGATGATTAAATGGCTATGAAAAAATCTAAGAAAACATTTCAGTGAGTAAATTTTCACTCAAAATCTTTAATTGTTCATATATCTATTATTATCCTGGCTGACATAAAGAGAATTTCCAGGTCACCTACAAAAAGGAATTTGACTCAACAAAAAGTGCCTAACCTGAAGTGTCCCTAATGAAACCAGACAAAGGGCCAAACTTCACAAAATATACATAAAAAGGACAGATTAGAACACATCACAAGTTTCTAGTGGTTCAGCTGGAAGGGGTTAAGCACAACATATTGCTTGGTTAGAAACATGGTGCTTTTCAAGATCAGTATTAATCTTGCAGGTAGGAAAGACTAAAGAGAAAGAAACAGAAAGGGGATAGTGACTACATGTTTCTGGGCATATTTACCAGTCATGCTGCCATCTCTGTTTATTCCATTATGGAGTTTACACTGAACAAATGCAGCATCGAATAACCAGGATCCAAAGAGATTCAAGATGCTGTTAACCTTTGGTCTCCGAGGAGCAGGCAGTGGCCTGGGTTCTGAACTAGTCTGATTTGGACTTGATAGAGGAGAAGTGGAGGATGCCTGGTGCTGGACTTTCGAGGTGTGAGCAGTAGTAACCTACCAGAAGAACATAAGTAAGTGTCCACAGTAATGAAAAGTTGGAGAAAGTTGCAGGACTTGTAATAGTTAGCCTCCATAAAGCAAAACAATGATGTTGAACGTTTGTTCTTACTGTACTTGTCTTCATGGTAGCCTTGTTCACAGTAACAGCCCGGTGCCTCCGGTTATGTGGCGGTGTGGTGTTCACAGCAGCGCTCTGAGGCATACTTAATCTATTCACAGGTGTTGGGGGAGCACTGTCTGATCGGGGTCGAGAAATGCCTTTTAAAAAAAAAGGGAGGTTAGTTTTGTTTTCAAGAAAAATGAAACTGTCCCCAGAATTCACTTACCCTTTCTTCCTGAGTAACAGAACCGTATTTCAATTGGACAGGGAAGCTAGAAGAAAGACTATGTTTTCAAACTTCCCTTTTAAGAGTGTGGCCATGTTTTAAGCTTAGAAAATTAGGCTACTATTGGATACATCTCCCAGAAAAATCTTACAAAAGACAACCAGGCTTCCCTGTCCTTCCTGACTCTTGAAAAGAGAGCTACTGGGACCCTCTCACACATCAAGCAATACACAACAAAACAGACAGCCACCAGACAGAAGGGTCCCGATTCCTTACAGTGATGAAACCACTACAGCAACTACACTGCCTGACCTGCCTCACATAATAACTTGTATGAAAACAAATTATTAAGTGTCAACCATGGAGAGTTTAGGCAGTTTTCATTAAATAAGCATACATTGTTTTTTGCAAAGGTGCCTTGTGATGAATGACATTCACAAACTTTGGAGGTGTCAAAGTACTGTTATTTGCTGCTTTGTAATCATTCACCATGACTAACATTCCAACTGTTCCTGTCATCCAAGAAAGTTCACAGATGTTTGAGAACCCCTTAACTACTTTATTCACTGCTTTGTTAATCAGTCACTATGATTAGTATTATTTCAACTGTTCCTTTGACACAAGAAAGTTTAGAGATGTATGAGAACATCTTAAACAAAACATTCTGATTAGATTGGCAGCAATCTAATTAGAACAAATCTATTAATTGTGCTTTTTCTATTTTGTAAAAATTTTAATAAACTTTATTATTTAAAATCTGTCAAATAGGGCTGAAAAGATGGCTGAGTAGTTAAGAGCACTGTCTGCTCTTCCAAAGGATCTGAGTTCAATTCCCAGCACCCACATGGCAGCTCGTAACTGTCTATGACCCCAATTCCAAGGGATCTGACACCTTCACACTAATGCATATAAAATAAAAATTTTAAATAAAATCTGTCAAATAAAAACAACATACACAAGGTATAGCACATGTCTTTAATCCCAGCCCTTGGGAGACAAGAGGTAGGCACATCTCTGTGAGTTTGAGGCCGGCCTGGTCTACAGAACAAGTTCCAGGACAGCCAAGGCTAAAAGAGAAACCCTGTCTCAAAAAAACAAAACCAAAAACAAAAACCACCAGAATTAAACAGAAACCAAACTCTACACATTTCAATGACCATCTAGTCAGTCTGTACAATCCAGTGTGGAGCCTCTTACTGTATTTTTCATTTTCATTATCAAATGTATTTTTATGCACTTATTTACCATCAAAAACAAAAAAAAATCCACGACAGAGAAAAAACTTACAACTGTGTAATACACTTAACACATATACATAACAATTATTTTAGAAAATGACAGGTATTAAACATGACTCTTAACAATTAAAATATTTTGACCTTTTTTGTATATTACCTATGAAAAACTAAAACACTGGTTCACAATAGGTATAGTTTACCAATGATATCCATGAAAAAAGTCACTAAAGCATTTTAAACTATTTTCATGGTAACTTATAGAATGAGTTCTACAATTTGCAATATGTTTTGCAAACTATTTGTATAATTTCTCCATCTATCTATCAATTTATGTCTTTTTCTTGATATTTTTGTTTGATTTACAGAAAGGCATTCTAGCTATCACAATTTGCTGAAAATAATTAAAAATTATTTTCCATCAAGTTTGTTCCTCTTTCTCTGGGCTTCTCTATGAGGTTCCATCTATAGAATATCTACATACAGCTCTTCAAAAATCTAAGAAACATACACAAAATTCACCTAAGAATGCATCCACCAAGCAGCTGATTCCACGCATGGCACGAAAGAATATCTGAGGCAGCTGTTTAAGGCAAGGGTACTGGCTCAGCTCCTGTGGCATCCCACTCACACTCAGGAACTGCTCCTGAAACTTGGGGGTTGAGCTTATAATGGCTGGATTACTCAGATCCACAGGATTACTGTTGAAAAGAAGAAAGAGTTCATTACATTCTTAAAAATGTCTATAGGAATAGAAGTACATACCATCTAATGTAAGAATTAGAACTACTGCTCAATCATAGTGGTGAAACCTTTAATCCCATCATTCAGTGGGCAGAGGCAAGCAGATCTCTGTGAGTTTCAGGCTAGTCTGTTCAATGTGAGTTAATTCCAGGATAGCCAAGACTATCTAGAAAGACTCTGTCTCAAAAATAAAAATAACAACAAAAAAAAAGAATAGGATTATTTGTGCCTGTTTCTTTAATGTGAAAAGAAGTCTGACTTTATTTGATGAGGTAGGGACTCAAACATGAATGTTTCTCTATAGGCTTGCAGGTTTGCTTGTTCATTGGCTTTTTTAATAATGCTTTTACTAATTCTTTGAGAATTTAATACGTTTTTGTTTATCTGTTTGTTGAGACAAGGTCTCATTTTGTAGCCCTAACTAGCCTGAAACTGTATATGAAGGCCATGCTGTCCTTGAACTCACAGAGATCCAGTTCTGTCTGCCTCCTAGCCTATGCCTCCCAGCCTCTTCCTGCCAAGTGCTGAGTTTAATTAAAGGTGGGAGCCATCATGGCCAGCTTGTTCTTTTAAAAAACAAAAAATAAACAACAACAACAAAACAAGAACCTGCTTTCTTCATAGAATAAGACTAGAAAGTTTTAATTTTTTAAGAATTTTTTCCACTGGGTGTGATGGCTCATGCATTTAATCTCAATACTTAGGAGGCAGAGGAAGGTAGATCTGTGAGTTCAAGGCCAGCCTGGTCTACAAAGCTGTTCCTTTCTAAAGAAAAAAAAAAAAATTAATGTTTAAACTAACTAATAGAAAACAAGCCAACGAAAATTTCATGAAGAAATTTTTAATATAAACATCTGTCCATATGTATGGACATACCAACAAGTGCAAGGACAACATCTGCTAATAGCATTAGTAAAAACCAATTGGAACCTTGCTGTTTCCAGAAAAAAAGACAAGATTCTGCTTATACTCTACGTCACATTCAGCCCTCTCCCCAACAAATCTGCCAACGGAGAGTGTGGCCCTGTCTGAGTACTCATCACAGTCCTACTTCCGATCCACCCACAGCTCACTTAAACAAAACATAAACCTATTCAAAAGGAATCTATCCAAATGCCTTTGAGAAGTCTGCAATATTAACCCAATTAACAAAAATAATTTGACCTAATGTATCTCTTTTGAGTGTGAGCAGAGGAAAAGGCCCAGTACCTAAAAGAGCCAGAGCTGGGGCCACAGTGTTCACAGCTGTTCACGTCACTAAATCATACACTCCTGAAAGGCAGGAGGAACCAGCAAAAGGGAAACAGTCTACCAGAGAGAATAGGTATAAACACAAGAAGAAAGAAAGCTGAGAAAGAGAAGGCTGAGTGTTCGTGACTCAAAAATAACATTCAAAGCTTGATCTTTTCCCAACTGCTTCTTCGAGTTTAATGAGGGCTCTCCACGGATTCACAGTAACCTCTCCTCCACTGGTGGCAATAGTGTGTGGGTATGTGGTTGTGTGTGTGTGTGTGTGTGTGTGTGTGTGTGCGCGCGTGCATTGCTAACCCAGGTTTTTACTACTTATAACAAAACAAACCCTGACTAGAACGCCAGTATTATCCCAAGAACAAAGATAAAGCCTAAGAGATCAATTAGGAATGAAGAAATTAGAAAATATTACACAACAATTATTCTAAAATGTTTTTGAAAACAGGGTCTTACAATGAAGTTACAGACTAGCATGAAACTATTTGTGATCTTTCTGCCTCATATAAGGATATAGTAACATAACAAAAGCTAGCTTCCCACTATCTTAGCGTAAGAAATAGGCAAATTTTGTGGATAAAACACTTCTGGTTCCTTCAGAGTAACTGAGCACAGTGGCTCAATCCCTGTATTCAAGAAGCTCAGTAGGTTCAAGGCCAGTTTGAGCTACACAGCAAGTCCCTGCCTCAAATAATAAAAAAAATAAAGGAGGGGACTATGTTTAAGTGGTAGACTACATGCTTAGAATGTACAAACCCAAGTTCAATTCCTGGTACCGAGTAAACAAGCAATGTTTAAAAGGAGACTGAAGAGATAGCTCACTAGTTAAGCGTACATACTGCTCTTCTAGAGTACCCAAGTTCAGTTCCCAACATCCACATTGTGACTCACCACCTCCTGTAACTCCAGCTGCATGGATATGATGCTCTCTTTTGCCACTTAAGGGTACCCAAATACACAATATACACTCACAAAGAGAGATACATACACATAAATAAAAATCATCTTTCTCGGGACTGGAGAGATGGCTCAGTGGTTAGGAGCACTGCCTGCTCTTTCAGAGGTCCTGAGTTCAATTCCCAGGCACCTACATGGTGGTTCCCAACCATCTGTAATGTGATCTGATGCCCTCTTTTGGCATGCAGGTATACATGCAGATGGAGCACTCATATACATAAATAAAAATATTTTTTTAAATTTAAAAGTGGATTCTAGTTATACCACAGTTCTTATATTTGGCAGAGATTAGTTTTTTCTACTTTCCTTTTTTTAAAATTTATTTATTATTTATACAGTATTCTGCCTATATGACTGTTTGCATGCCAGAAGAGGGTACCAGATCTCACTATAGACGGTTGTGAGCCACCATGTGATTACTGGGAATTCAACTCAGGCCCTCTAGAAGAACAGCCAGTGCTCTTAACCTCTGAGCCACCTCTCCAGCCCTCTACTTTCCTTTTCCTCCTCTGTTTTCTTTCTAAAAATTTTTATTTTATTGAGCCAGCGAGGTGGTTAATGGACTGAAACACTTGCCACTGCATGATGCTGGCGTGATAGCTGAAATTCAATCCATAGAATCCATGTAAAGTAGGTTGTCCTTGGGGCTTTACACACATGCCACAGCACATGTATTTGCATCTACACACACACATCATAATAGAAACAACAAATAAATGCCATTTTAAAAAATGAAACAGGTCCAGGTGTGATGGTGCTTGCCCTTAATCCCAGCACTCAGGAAGCAGAGGCAAGTGGATCTCTGTGAGTTCGAGGCCAACATGGTCTATAAGGGGAGTTCAGGACAGCCAAAGCTACCCAGAGAAACCCTGTCTCAAAAAAACAAACAAACAAAAAGAAAGAAAAGAACGGCAGGAGGGAAAACCCTTGATTTTTCAACAGGGTTTCTCTGGGTAGCCCTGGCTGTCCTGGAACTCAACTCTGTATGTAGACCAGGCTGGCCTTAAAACTCAGAGACCCTCCTGCTTTTGCCTCTGCCTCTGCCTCCTTCGTGCTGGGATTAAAGATGTGAGCTACCATCACCAGCTTCTTCTGTGAAATTTAAGGTCTGTTTTTCAATGAAATTTTAAATGAGGCTGGCAGAAGAAGGCACTAAGAGTAAGAATGATGATCCAGTAGGGACAGAGAGAAGCATGACAATGAAGTCCTGACAAAGACGTCATCATCTAAGATGCAGCAACAGACAGGAAAATAAGTTCCTAGAGAGGGTAGTCGAGAACAGCTGAAGGCCACCCAAGCCCACTGGAATAGAGAAAGGAGGTGCATGATGCAGCGTGCATGCTGCTCAATTCAGCTCCATCCAGTGGACTATGCTTAGCATTCACATGCTGCATTCCAGCAGAAGCACAGTGTAATTGCCCTAAGACACTTACTGGGTAAAGAACACAAAAGTAAAATGACAATACCTTAGCATATGTAAGAATCGAAACCATGTTTGTGCAACACATTCATTGTCCATTTCTGGAGGGATCAGATTGGCATCTTCATCAGGAACTTTAAAGGGAGGAAATGAAGGACCGTATGTAAAGCGGAGCAATCTGGAAAATAAAACCACATACCACTAAGTCCATTTCTTTCTTTTTGACTTGTTTTTCTTTTGATGGTACTAAGGATTGAACCTAGGCCTTGCACATTCTAGGCAAGTGCTGTACCACTGAACTATATCCTAGCCCATTAAAACTTTTGTTTTGAAACAAGATCTCACTAATGGCAGGGGCTGGCCATAAACATCTGATCCTCCTGTCTCTGCCTGATTAACAAAGATTATAGTCCTGTACCCTGTACCAAGTCCAGCTACCAAGTTCATTATTGACAAAATTAAACATATATTTAAGCATTATATAAGAAAACAGATTAAACATACCTTAGCTAAGTCAAAAAGGTATAAGAAAACTGATTTGTAAAAACAATAAACTTCAAGGGATTTTCAATTCTTTTAAAAATGATTTAAACTTTTATCTGAAATATTCAAACTATTTAATTTAACTTAGTATTTAACTTGCAAGTAATAAATTATATATTTTTGTTATTGTACCTATAAAATTACATATTTAATTATTTGACTGGATGGTTTTGGTTTTTGTGTTTGTTTTGAGGCAGAGGTTATTTAGCTCTGGCTGACATGGAATGCACTATACAGATTGGCATAGATCTTACTACATACACCAGGCTGGCCTCAAACTCAGAGATCTGTGTACTTCTTCCTCCTGAGTGCTGGGATTAAAGGTATATGCTACCATACTCAGCTTCTTATTACTTTTAAAAACCTGATACCACTATAAATCCTTCAATACAACTAAGATATAATTTATTCATAACAACTTTACAAGAAGTTCAGAATTTAGTATTTATATGTATAGAATATAGTACATTTTTATGATGTACCATAAAAGTTAACTGAAATCAACAATTTATTTACATAATAGTAATATTCTAGATGTTTTAGGACTTTTCAAAGCCATTTGAAAAGTCAATTACTCTGTGTCTAGGGATTTCATTTTAATAAAACAATCAGTACATATAAATCTGTAGGAAGTATTCCTTCAACAAAATTTCTAATGTAAAAAGTCAGAACAGCATATTTATTGAAATAGAATTTATTAAATTATATAAGACTAAAATGCAACCTCAAGAATCATTTACAAATAAATACAGGTAATTAAAAATGACTTGAATCAGACAACAAATGAAAAACACTGGTAAACAATATTATCTCAAACTGTTTTTTTTTTTAACAACTAAACTAAATGTGGGAAAGTACATTTAAAAATATTTCCATATATTTAAAAACATTTTTAAATGACAGGATGTTCGCTCTATTTTCCAATATTTCTATCGGCATGTATGGCTTTTGTAATCAAAACTAATTAAAAGAAGACACAGTATCCACCCTCATGACATGCCACACATGTAAAGACAACTCTGCGGAATCTGTTCTCTCCTTTTACCTTTACATATGAGTTCTGGGGGTTAAGCTCAGGTTGTCAGGTTTGCACGGCAAGTACCTCTATCATGAGCCATCCCCCTGACCTCTTTATTTCTTTTAAACATGCTTTTCAAACTACATTCCACGAAGCCCATCCAGACAGAAGCAGAGAACAGCTGCCCCAAGGTCTGGTGGTTGAGGACAATGGCCTACCTGGAAGTGAGTGCACAGATGACCTTGCTCCACTGCTCCACCACTGCAGGGTGGTGCCTCCAGTTAGCCACCATCTCCTTGGCAGTCTTCCAGTAAGGAGGAGTTGGGAAGCACCGGGTGCAAGCTAGTAACCAAACTTCAAAGAGAACACCAATCAACTTCTCTGCTAGATTCTCAGCAATGCCACCTAGCCAATGAAAAGAAACATATCTTTGGCATACTTATTTTTAAAACAGAATCTTTCATTCATTATATTGGAAAACTGGTCAAAAACTGAATAGCTGTAATGTCAATAACAATTTTTCAAATAACTAAATTGAGAAGTTTAGGAGCAAGCTCCTATGAAGAAATCATAGAGAACATCAATGAATTACTTTTTGAGAATTTTCAAATTGTTCTGCTAGTTTTTAATACAGATCTTAAGGTTCCAGCTTGGGGCAAACAGGAAAGAGAGAAAAAGATGAATGCCAACAATGACTGACCACTACAAGTCACCTTCTGCGGCAAGCAGTTCACTCATGACCTCACAGAATCTTCTCATTTATTTCTGCAGGACAGATACCTGTAAATACCTATTAGCTTTTTGTTTAAAGACATGTTCCTCTCATACAACTCAAGTTAACCTGGAACTTAACTGTACAGTAAAGGGTAACCCTGAACTTCTAATCTTTCTGCTTCCACCTGAGATTATAGGTGTGAGCCACCATGCCAGTATGTCCCTACTCCATTCAGCCAATAAAAAAAGAATAGAAGAAAAACACCAAGGTCTTCCTAACTCCAAGGTCGGCAACAAACGCTCCACGCACATAAAGCTTCCCTTCAGTGGAGAAAGGCACAGGGAAAGCTAAGCACTGGCACTGGGCACGTCAAAGTCCTGAAACCAGAAGGGCCAGTGTACTTCATTCTGCACAACCCAAGATAGTAAAGTTAGGAGTGGAAGGAAAAGTAATTGGAATGTGCACATCAAACAAGCAAAATCAAAGTTCCAATAATCAAGAGGCCAAGAAGGGGGTAAGTTGCCTGTTTCACACTGTTGAGATCAGTCACTGGCATGGGGAACCAATAGCAGATAGCCAATGCATTAGTGCTGTGACTGGCAAGCTACTGTATACAAGACTGTATTCCTATCAAGGGTCCTTTCCCACACTGCAATTCCAAGATTCCTTCCAGACATTTCCTTGGTCATTACATCTGACAACACACACAAACTTATGTTAGTAGAGAGAGTGCACAGAGAATAAGAACAACAGATCCTGGAACTCAAATACCAACTTACAGTTTATGTATACTCTGTTTTACTCTACAAAGCAGGGCTTCTGAAATACATTGTAAAACTATATAGAGGCTTTATCACTAGCTAATGAATGTCATACTTCTAAATCAAACACCTTAAGACTTTGGAGGTTTTATTTGCCAAATAAGAGATTTTCTAAGCTGGGGGTGGAACTCAGTCTCAGTGGTTAAGTGTTTGCCCACCATGGGCAAGGTCCTGGGCCATTTCCATAGTACCTCAAGGCGGGTGGACAAGATATCTCACTATCATTACTATCAAGCTTTTAGACTCTACTTTGATAACAACTTTGTCATCCAGTTAATTATCCACAGACCCTAATCTAGTATTTGCTGTTTCCAAGATAAGCTACTGCACAAAACAAACAATTGTTCCTATCCTTCTCCAACATGATTAATTACAAATCCTTCTCTACATTAGCAAAATAATCACTGAAGGCAAAATAACTTAGACACATACACACAAAAACAAACACACATTCTTTTTTTTAAGGTATGATCTCACTATGTCATGCTAGTTAGTCTGGAACTTACTATGTAGACCAGGCTGGTCTTGAACTTAGAGAGCCACCTGCCTCTGCCTCCTGAGCTCTAGGATTAAAGGCATGTGCCCCACCTCCAGCCCATACTGTATCTTTCCAGCCTAAAAATTGTTAACTTTGGTTTGTCAACAATCTGAACAAAATTTGAAATTTTCACTGAGTCTATCATTCAGTAAGTTTAAATGTGAACTATATTTGGAGCTCAGAAATATATAGGGAAAAATTCATTAACAAACCTTGAACAGTTGGTGGGGCCAGAAGTATGTCATTAATTTGCAGAAGAAACAACAGTAAGACTTCCCAGGTTTCTCGAGCCATGATGGATGACTCACGGGCCAGTTTCTGAATGGCTCTCAGAACCTGTAAGCATAGTCGGATCTGACTGGAGCCCTGTTCCTGTCTGAAGAAGACAGACAGATATCACTGACAGGCCTGGAAGAGAGACAGCAACAGCCAAAGAACAGAAAACTTACTGACGCAGAACAGTGGTCCAATGACATTGCCTAAGCACCAGTGGGCAGGGCTAAGTCCAACCCTCCTTGGTTTACAGCTAGTTTCCCCCACTATTCAGTGCACCATCCTGAGATTTCTATCTACCTCTCCTACAAAAAGTTAACTTCTGGGAGAAAACAGAAAAACCAGAATGTAAACTTTACCTCTGGATTTTCTTTCTGAAATGTATCTGGCACATAATTGCAGATATTCAACTAGCTCCTGAAAGATGAGTGCATACCTAGTTGCCTCTGCTCTTCACACTGGAGCAGAAAAGCCCTTATATCCTTTTTCAGTTTTCTGAAATACACATTCATGAGACTTCTTCAAGTGTTTACAGTATTCACAGTCACCCCAAAGGTAGTATCTGTTAGGAGGCCCAATGGAGTGTCCAAAATTGATATAGCATGTCAGTATCTCCTTAGAGAAGAGCACCTGCTATTATCGTTCTAATAAAAACACAGGCATTCCAAAGGGCTCCAAGAGCTCCTCAAACAACAGTTGCAAAATTCTCTTTAGACATTTTTGCTCCTTAAGAGAAGAAAACTATTCCATAAAATGGAGTAGAGGGGAAAGCTAGAGATCCAGGGCATAGCCCTTGCCTCACTTTTCAAGATATCCCAACTGAAAATCTCAAGAACAGCTTTAACAACAGGTGAGCTGCCCTCCCGCTTTCTCATGACAAACTCAACACATTACTGATATAAAGTCAACTTTCTATAAATTATGACTTGACACAAAGAGCTGGAGAGTCTTGAAGAAACGTCAGCAAATCATCTAAGTCCTAGAACTCCCACTCCTTAGACCTAGGCTATGACACACATATCTGGACCCTACCTTAAAGTTGCAGACAAATCATACAACTAAGTCATTAAATGTTCCCTAAAGAAATTAAAACTGGGCCAGGGGTATGGAATGGCTTAACAGGTAAGATCATTCCCTATACAAACATAAAAGGACCTAAGTTTAAATCCTTAGCATTCACATAAAAAGCCGGGCATAGCTGTGTACCTGTAACCCCAGTGTTGCAGGATGGAGACAGGTAGATCCTGGAAGTTTGATAGCCAGGCAGCTTAGCCGAAATGGCAAGCTTCTGGTTCAGCAAAAGGCCCTGTCTCAAGGGAGTGAGGTAAAGAGCAATAGAGGAAGATACCCAAATCCCTCCTCTGACTTCTGTCTATGGGTGCACCCACACTTGTGCATGCATCACACAGACACACACATGGGGACAGAAGTGTCCATCCCACATTCATCTAGAGGTGAAGTTCATTAGATAGCACACAGCTCAAGCATGTGTTTGTTCTGCCTTACTTGGAGAAGAATAAAGAATGACTTAATAGCCTTCAAACCTTATTCACCCATAAAATATGAAGCCCAGAATAAGAAATAAAAGCAGTAATAGGGTGCTGGAGCTGTCCTTCTTTTGAGGTGGCTACTATTGTACACGCTCCCCACAGTAGCCATTCTTTCTAGGTGTAGAGCCTGCCTAGTAGCAGGAAAGGAAATAAGTCCTCCTCTGGTTCCTTAACCTCACTCAAAAGGCCTAAATTTAGTCAGGTACAGGATTCTAGTTTCTAATAGTAGAAGAAACAGGGTAGTCTTCACATAAAAAATGAGGTCTGAATAAAGGAGATTTTCTTCAATCTCAAAAGTGACTTGTGGTTTTCATAAAAACTTTAGAATATGGACTAGTGAATTGACCAGAACTTGACTAACACCTGCTGTTTTAACACATTTATTTATTTGTTTGTTTGCTTATTTTTATGTTGGCACTCTGCCTGCAGGTATGTCTGTGTACCAGGTATGTGCATTGCCCACAGAGGCCAAAAGAATACACCAGATACCCTGGACTAGAGCTATAGATGGCTGTGAGCTACCCTGTAGAGTGCTCTTCCTGTGGAACAGCAGCCAGTGCTCCTAACCGCTGAGCCATCTCTAGCCCATAGACTAAGTTAAGAAGCAAGAACTTTACTTACAAAGGCAGCTGGCGAAATGGCTCAGCAGTTAAGAGCACTGGCTGCTCTTCCAGATGACCCAGGTTTAATTTTCAGCAGCCACATGGCAGTTCACAACTGTTTGTAACTCCAGTTGTAAAAATTATTAACTTAGTAATCTATAACTGCTTTCCTGTTCTACACAGATCTGAGGAATTGCAACACCATGTAGCCAGCAATATAGCTAGCTTTAAAAAAAAAAAAAATGTGGACCACTGGTTTAGGAGACACATATACATGGATGAGGAAAAAAAAAGATACTGCATTTCTTATAATGTAATATATCTCAGCAATTAAAACTCTAATCAATTTTAACAGATAAAACAGTCTTCACTCAATTATGAAAAAATATCAAACTAATGGGTAAAAGAGAAAGTCATATTAACTTAATCTCTAGCAAAAGGTAAAGGTAAACTGACTCTACTTTGAGTCAGTTTATATAAAAACAACTAATTAAGTAAGTGCTAATGACATTTGGATGAACTATCTAAATTTTTTAAACTTAAACTTCTAATACTGGAATGTTAGATCATAAGCCCCAATATACAGCATTGAAAACATTCACCTAATATTCATATACTACCAATGGCCAAGAAAACCCTAATATTTGAACCAGTGACTTTTAGAATTTACTGACCTATACACACACACACACATTTCTGAGGAGCACACTAGTTATCAAATAGCAAAACAACTTACACTCATACTTTCTAAGAGAGAAAAGTAAAAACAAAAGCACAATTTATTCAACTGCCATTACTGTTTTCAACAGTACATCAGGCTTAGTGGCAAGTACCTTTACCCACTGAGCCATCTCAACAATATTTTTAGGCTGGAGACAGGGTCTCATGATGTAGCTCTCAGGCTGGCTTTCAACTCCTTCTGTAGACAAGGAGTTGCTGTCTTCAATGCCCAATCTTAACTCCACCTCTAAAGTGCTGGGATTATAGGTATGAACCACCATGCCTGCCCTGTTTACTAATTCTATGTCTTCATATCCACAAGAAAACAGTTGCCCTTGTTTTAAGTGGAGACAAGAATTATGATATTCAAAAGTACGCACAAGTTGGTACACATGAGCATGTGTCCTTGCCAGTGTTTTCCTTCTCTTCCACCATATGGGTTCCAGAGATAAAACTATGATCATTAGGCTTAGTAACTAGCATCTTTACCCACTAAGCCATCTTGCCAACCCCCACCAAATAATGTTTAAAAAGGGAAAGAAATATGTCACTATTACCATATTTTAAATATCCAACATCTCAGAAACAAGGCCAAAAAGTATTTAAAATAAAGACACATCTATTAAAAAAACTGTGGTAAATCCAAGAGTGGCAGAGTACACCTGTAATCTCAGAACCCAAAAGACTAGGACAGGAAGATATGAGTTTGGATCAACATGGGCTACACAGCAAGTTCAAGACCAGTCTGGGCTACACAGTGAGATGCCATCTCAAAAAAAAAAAAAAAAAAACTTCTGGTAAACATTACATAACCCTGTAAGTCTATTTTTTATTCATATTTATAGAATCCATAAGTGAATAAGTAAAGTTCAAAGACTAACAATAAATCAATTTCTATATTTGTTAAAGTAGCACTTATATATACCTTATTATGATCTTGATAATGACCAGATAGTCAGATATAACTTACCTTGGAACAAAAAGATTTTGTAGGTGTTTTAATATACTTTGAACATATAGATTAGGCTCTTTAATAATTGGTAGTGGAATAGAATCTTTCGGCAACACCAAAGCCATAATCCAATCTGTATATACATCAACACAATATTTTACAGTCTCTCCATCCAATGGAAGGGTTAGTCCATAGCAAATTACTTCCATGGTCCATTTCACCTAAGCAAAAAAAATTCACAAAGATTATGGACCTTTATATCTATTTCATTAGATTAATTTAAAATACAACATCTTCTAGTGCCCACATGCTTTAGGTTGATGATATAGTCATCTCAACAAATACATCAAATTTACTTTAGACACATACTTTTTATGAGACATATTCATGTTGTATTTGTCGAGAAAACTTCAGGTAAAATTTAATTATTTTTAAATATTAAGCCTAATCATGCTTTTACCTTCTGATATCATTACCATTCACTGTGAAATGATCCTTTCAATTTTCTATAGATACTAGAAATGTAAGAATAGAAAATGCAGGGGCTGGAGGGATGGCTCAGCGGTTAAGAGCACTTGCTAGTCTTCCAAAGGACCTGAATTCAATTTCCAGCACCAACAGGGTGGCTCACAACCATCTATAACTGTAGTCCCATGGAATCCAATGCCCTCTTCTAGTATATAAATGTACATACAGACAAAATACCCATATACATAAATAAATAAACCTTTTTATGAAAAAATAGAAAACGTAGGATTTTAATCTACTCAATTTGCATGAGTAAATATGAGTAAATCAATTCAAGGGCCTAGAGAGATGGCTCAGATGTTAAGAGCACTGCCTGTTCTTTCAAAGGTCCTGAGTTCAATTTCTAGCAACCACATGGTTGTTCCTAACCATCTATAATGAGATCTGGTGCCTTCTTCTGGTATACAGGCATACATGCAGGCAAAATACTATATAGATAATAAATAAATCTTAAAAAAAACAATTACATTACATTCCATCTTCAGATTGCGCAACAGGAACAAATGACAGAAAGGAAGATTAGTTGGTCAACTTATTATACAACTTATTTTCTCTATAAAAAATAAATAAATAAATAATAAATAAATGAATAAATAAATAAATAAATAGAAGGGGAGGAGGACTTCCTCTATCAATGGACTAGGGGAGGGGCATAGGGGGAGAACAGGGGAGGGGACTGAGGGAGGGGGCCACGGTTGGGATACAAATTGAATAAATTGTAATAAATTATAATAATAATTTTTTTAAACCAACACTAAAATGGACAGGTGAGAACACAGGTGAAGAAGGACTGAATGGGTAAGGTCTGAACCAGGCATCTAGCCACAGAAACACATACTAAGTGCTCCAAGAAATAAGATGCTAAGAGAAAGGGGGGGGGGGAATCTCCTAAATTGAAAAAGAAAATGAAACTACATCCTAGACACCAAAGCCTAGAATGTTTAAGTGAATTCCAGACAAAACTTGGGGACAAATACTAAGCAGATACGAAGAAACACTTAACAAAAGGTATGATGATCTCTAAGAACCAGGTTGCTCGAAAAGACCAAGTCAAGCCAGGTTTTATTACAAGAGCTAACAATTGTACAATCACTGCAGTTTAAAAAGTACCTTCATAAAAGCCACCATCACCATAATCCCACATAAAAGCGTAAACTGCCCTCATTTCATACATCAGAAAAATAAAATTTAGGATGTTTAAGTAATTCAGCCCACTACTGGTTTACAAATACTGAAGTTAAAGATGAACCTTGTTTTTCAATGAGAAACATAACCTGGTTTTCCAGCCCCAAGTTTTAAAGTGTCTCACCAAGTCATTATTAACTGTTTTGGCATTGGGACATCTTAGCTTTAGCTGGAAATTTGGCAAGAAATCCTAATGGACAAGGATGGAGACATAACAGCCCATAGGATGTAGAATGGCCAGATTTATAAGTGGACCAAATACCACAGACAATAACAGGATGAAGGTTCTGAAATTACTTGGGGAAAGGGTGCCACTGGCTTACCAATGGCCACACCAAGTTCATGCTACTGCTGCTGTTTTGTGGTGCTAGGGATTAAACCCAGGGCCCTAAGAACACTAGGGAAGTACTCTACTTCTGAGCTATACCACCAACCTACCTTGCCAAAACTTTTATTTAGGCTAGGCTAGGTTGATGTTGCATGCCTGTAACCCCAGCACTCCCAGAGGCTAAAGCAGGGGAATCTCAAGTTCAAGCAGCCAAAGCTACACAGTAAGTCCAAGACAGCATAAACTAAACAGGGAAGTCCTATAACAACAACACTTTGGATAATAAACAAACAATGGTCAATTATCAGTAAACAACACAAAGAAAAAAAGGACAGTCAGCATGTTGGCTAGAATTCAGGTTTACTAAATTTGAATCTGACGAGATAAATTCATATATTGAATCTGGGGGAAGAAGACAGGTGGAATTAGGACAGGGTCTTGCTAGAAAGCCCTGGCTGTCCTGACACTCAGGATCTTCTTGCATAATCCTGGCAAAGGCTAAAACTGGAGGCACATTGCCACGATACCAAGCTTATATTAAATGTCCTTAGTTCAAAAGCAACTACAAAAGGCTAAATTTTTTGGTTAGTAAAAATAATAAATGCTAAAGAAAACTGTAACCACATGAAGCTGTAAAAATTCAGAGGAAGAAGTGTTGGATGTTAAGTAAGCCACACAAGAGAACAGAGTGTGGATGTGTTCAGGTAAACATGGGTACACACGTGTGCCTGCACATAGAAGCCAGAGTTCTACCTCAGGTGTCACTGCTCAGATGCTGTCTATCTTGCTGAGGCAGATGTGTCACTGACCTGGGGCTTGCAGTTAAGCGAGGCTGGCTGGGCAGTGAGCCCCAAGAACCCTCCTGTCTCTTCATTCCCAGAGCTGGAATGACAAGTGATTACAGTTGCATGCCACTCTGCTGTTTCGTTTAGTTTTGCTTTGTTGGTTTTTTGCATAGGTTCCACTATGTAGCCCTAGCTGGCCTAGAATTTTCTATATAGACCAGGCTGAATTAAAACTGGATTGTACAGGGGCTGGAGAGATGGCTCAGAGGTTAAGAGCACTGGCTGTTCTTCCAAAGGTTCTGAGTTCAATTCCCAGCAACCACATGGTGGCTCATAACCATCTCTAGTGGTTCCAGGTACGCATGCAGACATAAGTAATATAAATAATAAATAAATATATCTTTTTGAAAAAAAATTGGATTGCATAAACAAGCACTTTACCAACTAAGACCTCAAGTTCAAGGCAGTCTGAGCTACACAATGTCATCTCCCCAGGCCCAAAAAGGAATCTTAAAAGAAGCTACAGGTTGCTAATCATTAGAAGACAGAAAAAAGACAAGTTATCTTTGGGATAGTGTCATAGTAGTTTAATTGTTCTAAAGGAAAAGTACCCTTGATGGCTCAGTGGGTAAAACCATATGACACATATATCTGTTAGCCTGAGCTCAATTCTGAAGTCCAAAGAGTAGAAGAAGACCTGACTTCTAAAACTTGCCCTCTGGTCTCCATATGTGCACTATGACACACATGCTCCCCTGCCCCCTACCCCCACCACATAATAAAAATAAATAAAATTTAACAACAAAGTACCTTCCTATTATCTCCTGAGGTAGTAAAAACAATAACCAGGGGCTATACTAGGTCACTTTCTATCTATCAAATGCCATCTCATCAAAGGAGAAGGCAGCAAGAGATCACAACTGCAGCCAGAGAGGCCGTCAGGTCTTATGCACATCCTCAGAGGAAGCTACAGCACTCTGATGAGAAAACTACAAAGACTAAAGGACTTCAACCTTTGGCAAGGGAGGATTAACAAACTACCTCTGTAACTGTAGGCTTCAGTTTTAGCCAAGTCTGAAATTTCATGAATGATCAAAAGTAAGAAGAGCTAGGCATGATGGCTCATATCTATAATACCAACACTTGAGAAGCTGAGACAGGAGAGTAACTCCAAGTTTGAGACCACTCTGGTTACATAGGGAGTTCTAGGTCAATCTGATCTACAGAATGAGACCTTGTCTTAATAAACAGTAGTAGTAGTAGTAGTAATAAAAGTAGGGCACGCCTACAATCCCAGCACTTGGGAGGCAGAGGTAAGTGGATTTCTGTAAGTTTGAGCCCAGCCTGGTCTACAAAGTGAATTCTAGATGAGCCAGGGACACACAGTGAAACCCTGCCACAAAAGGGGGGGGGAGGGGAGTCTGAGAATAGACCTAAAAAGCCTGTATCAACTTTCCTAAGCAGAAGGGACAAAATTCTAACCTTACATACAATCACACCATTCTCAGACTAAGGCTTAATCTCAGCTTAGTGCCCTGTCCCCATAAACAGAAAATCACCTCCAAGACAAGTTATTCTAAGAGCCCTTTGGACAGCAAGTTTAGGAATAGCAATTCCAAACCCAGTTCTAACTACCCAGGCTTACAGCCAAAAGTGCTTCATTGTTCTGCAGCACTCTTAAGCCTGGAAGACAGGCTAGAATAGTCAGAGTGAGACACACAAGAGAGCTCAGGCTCAGCACTTATGTATGGCCTGAAAAATCTGGCCTAAGCGAGGCTTTCAGTCAGTGTTTACCTATAAGCAGGGATGAGACCTATTCTGGCTAGTTTTATGTCAACTTGACACAAGGTATCAGCGAGGAGGGAATCTTGACTGAGAAAATGCCTCTGTAAGTCTGGGTTGTATGTAGGCAAGAGCATTTTCTTAATTAGTGATTGATGGGGTAGGTCCCAACTCAATGTGAGTGGTACCACCCTGGGCTGGTGGCCCTAGGTTCTTTAAGAAAGCAGGCTGGGCAAGCCATGAGGAGCAAGCCAGTAAGCAGCATTCTTCCATGTCTTCTGCATCAGCTCCTGCCTCCAGGATCCTGCACTATTTGAGTTCCTGCCTTGGTTTCCCTCAATAGACTGTGACTCTGTATATGCCAGCCAAATGAACTCTTTCTTCTCCAAGTTGCTTTTGGTCATGGTGTTTCATCACAACAATAGTACCTAACTAGGACAGGGACTTCCAAACTGAAACAGAAATCTGAAGACTTAACCTAGCACGAAGGGTCTGACACTTGACTGTCTTAAACACTTAGCTCACATGAAGGTGGCCAGTGAGAAGCCTTAGCAGTAAAAAGACACAACTCCTCCTTTTTATGTTCCACAGGCCTCAATTCCCAGCACACAACCCAAGTGAGATAGAAACTAAGAACTCCCACTACATAGGGCAGCAATCCATTAAAAAGTCAGCACTGTAACAGTGCAGACTGTTCCTGCAGAGAACCCAAGTTTGATTCTCATCAATCAAGCCAGGTGGATCATAGCTGCTGGAAGCAGCACTGGCCTCCAGAAGCACCTGCACTCGAGTGTACATACTCACACAGAGACCTACATACAGATACAAAATTAAAAATAATAAAACTAATTTTAACTATTACTTTTTAAAAGTCAACACTACGTAAGTTTTTTTAGTAATCAATTCATATTTTCAGGCAACAAATGAAATAAAAAACACTTACTTCTTTGTCAGTTTTTAACAAACTCTCACTACCAGCCACTGAAGAGGTACCTAATGCCTGCCCAAGGGGACGGACCACAGCATTCGCCACCTCTCGCCCAACACTCTCTGGATAGCTGTGTAGCACACTGGTATGGCCTTGATCATTCTGAATCACCAAATGCAGTGACCGCCACTCAGAGTACATCGTGCCGCTAACGTACTATCCAAATGGCACCTGAAAAGATAAAACAGATATCCATATCAAATTATGTTTATTACTAATATTAAAAAAGTAAAAAGATTTATACTAGGCAGCACAATAAAATGGACTGCAACACATTTATTTAAAAAAAAAAAAACATGTTTCACAAAAATAAAAATATAACTAGGGGGTTAGAGAAATGGCTCAGAGATGAGGAATGCCTGCTGCTCTGCCAGAGGTCCAGAATTCAATTCTCAGCACTTTCATCAGGTGCTTCATTTCCTGTAGATCCTGTTCAAGGGAATCTAATGCCCTCTGCTGGCCTCCACAAATACCTGCAATCCCATGTACATACCCCACACAGACACACACACAGTATGCATAATTAAAAATAAAATTTTAAAATGTATTGAAATTTGCTATCTAAAATAGTCTCGTGGTGAGATCAGGTGACAAGACAGAGCCTGAAAGGTAAGTTATATGAGCACCTACACTAGAGTTCCTCTGCTTCCAAGTGGACAAGACCAGCTGGCAATTTAGCAAGACCCTGTCTCAAAAAAAAAAAAAAAAAAATTATTTTAAATAAAAGGAGAGTTTGGAAATATATTAGTGATAAAATACTTGCCTGACATGCTCAAGGTCTTAGATTCAAAACATTAGTACTGGAAAAAAATGGAAACACACACAGACCTCAATTTATATGAAGCATATAAATTGGACAGTAATTATAAGGAAACTGGGTAGATAGGAATGAGAGTAAAAAAGGGCAACCATAAAAGAAAAGAAAGTAATAACAGGGAACAGAGTATAATGGCACACACCTGTAATTTTAACACTTGAAAAACCAAGGTAAAGATGGCAAGTTCAAAGCTACCAAAGACTATACTGTAAAATCCTTCTATTAAAAACAAAAACAAAAAAACAGGACTGGAGAGATGGCTCAGTAGTTAAAAACACTGCTATTCCAGGGGACCTGAGTTCAATCCCCAGCACCCACATCAGGTAGGTCACATTTCCCTGTAACTCAAGTTCCAGGAATCTGACACCCTCTTCTGGCTTCCCTGGGTATCTGCACACCTATGCATATACATACACAACACACACACACATAAACACACACTTTTCTAATGTTTTAAAACAAATTCACATCTGAAACAAGATGCTCAGAGCAGAAGGTAAGGTTATATTGTAGAAGGTAATGGGATTTTTTTTTTCCCCCGAGACAGGGTTTCTCCGTGTAGCCTTGGCTGTCCTGGACTCGCTTTGTAGACCGGGCTGGCCTCACACTCACAGAGATCCGCCTGTCTCTGCCTTGAATGTTGGGACTACAGGCGTGTGCCACAGTGCCTGACGGGCTTTTCTTTTCTTTTTAATGACAGACATGATGGTGTATCCCTTTAGTCTCAGTACTCGGGAGGTGGAGGTAGATCCATCTTTGTGAATTCAGGACAGCCTGGTCTACATAGTTAGTTCCAGGCTTGAAGTGAGACTCCCCCCCTCAAAAAAAAAAAAAAAAAAAAAAAAAAAACACTATATATATATTTTAAAGTAAGCAATACCCAACTTTGAAGGACTTTAAAAGCTAGGATTGGAGATTTATAATTAATTCAGTAAAAACTGGAAGCAAGGCCTGTGAGGTGACTCAGCAAGGCACTTCCTATCAAGCCTGAGGACCCAAGTTCAATCCACAGGATCCACATGGTGAAAGGAGAGAACAAATTCCTACAAGTTGTTCTCTAACCAAATATGCACAATAGCATATGCTCAATTTAAAAATAAAAACAAAAAACCGGGGGCAGGCTGTGTCCTCATGAACTAAAACTTTGCAACAAGAAAAAAAAGTGCAAGTACATACAACTGCAGACAGGGAATGTAGAAAATTACACCAGAAGCCACCTTCCAAGGAACATATACCCTGAAGGCCCAACTTACCTGCTCCTTCTGCAATCACAACACCACTGTGTCCCTGAACAGTGTCCTAGAATTCTACACACCTTATCTGTCAGAACCAGTGAATGTATACAGGTACTGTATTGTCAACTGGGAAGCAGACAGTAAGCTCACTTCCTCAATACCAATATAGTGATATTCCAGGGGCTCAAGTGTGAGTTCAAGACTGCCACACCTCTTTATGCAGGATTAGACATCACAGTGTATAGCTGTGGGAGTGGTGCTGGTAGACTTGAAGGGCCTCAAGTGGTCCAAAAGTCTACAATCTGTTCCTTTCTCCAACTGCCTCCTATCCCATCACTTTATCATAGGAATGATACAACAGGAACTGATCTTCCATAATTTGATGGAAGTGGCCATGACAAATAGGAGATCAGCAAACTCCAACGTCACTAATACGCTGGGTAGGACAGCAGTTCATGGGAGAGTAAACATAACTGAAGGCACATAATGACTCTCCTCCTATTGGCTATCTTCTGTCAATCTCAGCTGCCAGCAGAGCTGTCTCTACCTTCAGTGCTCCAGAAGTAAACACTATGGGAGGAAGATAGAATGTACCCTCTTGATCCCTGGTTTCCTTCCAACCTCTGCATGGACCCTTTTCTTAGAGGTTGTCATCATATGACGTTGTGCTGTTTGCCATCTTAAAGCTTTGTAAGCATCCCACATGTAAGCTCAGTCTAAATGACAATAACCAAAACCCACAAACACCACAACCCAATATTCATCACATCAACTGACTCAAACAATAGTCATCACGTGTATTCTATACAGCAAACACAGTGAGTACCACAGTAATAATCACACTATTCCCAAGGAGCTTCAAGTCAAATTACAAAGAACAATTGTTTGCAAACTTTCTGAAGTAAATCTAGATATCAGTTAAGTCACTAAGTAAATATTATTAAACAGCTCTATGTATCAGGTTGTCCTAGGATTTAGGTATGTAGCTATAAACTGAACAGAATGGCTGCCCAAGACAAAGTTTTATAATGATTAAGACAGAAATCAAAGAAACATCATATAATAGAATTTAATATGATCAATGATGTGATCAGCTACAAGGCAGCAAATTAAAACTACCAGAGATCTTGATAATAATGTGTCTTTATGTAAATATAACTGACCAATTTCCAAAAACTTTTATTATGTTGTTCCATTTTACTCCAACAACTACCCTAGATGTTTACATTAGAAAGACTCACTAGGCATTCATTAGGAAAGGAAACAAATAAGACTATGACTTGCTCAGGATCACATCATGTAACTGCAATGCTGGGACAAGAAACTCGACCTCTTGCCTCAAGGTCCAATACTTCTGACTCTGTGCCTCACCATATGACCTTGGACAAGTCACTCTACATTTATTTTTCACAGTCTCCCTGTCTCTCAAACAGGGAGAACACCTTCAGTACCTAGCTAAAGTGACTTGGGAGAAGGATCAAATACAGCAGCCTAAGTCAACATACCTGAGAACATACAAAGAAAGACACACAGTTAAGCTATAAAAAACAGGGTACAGAGTAGCAGTGTGCTCCATAAATAAATAAGGTGTTACTGGATCTTATGGCACAAGTGCACACAAATTCATCCACATAATTTGATGACAGAAGGACGTTTCTTAATTCTGTTGTGGTCTTAATGACATCACAAAGCAAATATCCACCAAGCTGGCACTTAAAAAAAAAAGAAGAAGAATGGACTCAGCTATGTGCCAGTTTGTAACTGCTAAGGATCCTATCAAGCACCTGAATTACAGAAGAAAGACATGTTCTAACTGCAGTTCTTCCCAGAGGTGAAAACAGATGGTTTCTTCTAGTCTATGAAAGAAAATGTGAATACACTCCAGCCCCAGCCAGCACTATCGCAACCATCCTCTGTCCTGGGACTGAGTATCATATCTACTGGTGTGGGTAACTATAACCTTAGAACTCGATTCCTTTATTTCATTTAAAGTGTTTAGTAGGCACACAGAACTAGTAAACAGTATATTGGACTGATCAGCTATGATAGAAAATTTTATTTTCATAGAAAATAAACTATGTAGACACTAATTCTTAAGATACTACTTTTGCCAAGGGTGATGGTGCACACCTTTAATCCCAACACTCAAAAGGCAGAGGCAGGAAGATCTCTGTGAGTTCAAGGCCGCATGGTCTACAGAGTGGGTTCCAGGACAGCCAAAGCTACACAGAGAAACCCTGTCTCAAAAATCAAAAACAAACAACAACAACAACAACAAAAAACTACTTTCATTTTAATTGCAATTCTAACTACAGAATTTCTTAAGGACATAAGGTGTATCTTATATTCAATATCTCTAATTTATATAACAAAATGTATGCATGTCACATACCAAACATTCATAACAGTTCTAATCTTAAACATAGCAGATTACACTGTCCACTATCCTATCTCCAATTCTCTCTCAACAAAAAGAACATTTCCCATGAGGGACAGCAGGGACAATGTGGAAGAAGACACTGAGTCTAGAAGAAGAAGGCCCATTTTTCCAGTCCTGAGTATGCTAGAAGCTCACCATGTAGCTTTAGGCAGGACAATTCATCCACAAAAGGTTAAAATTAAACTATGTAGACACTAATTCTAAAGCATCTTGGAAGAGGGAAGTGAGACAGGCTCTCACTATATAACTCAAGAGTGGCCTCAATTTTCCTGCCTTAGCTGAGATTATAGGTGTGAGCAGAAGATCCAACTTAAAACTTTATCTTATACCACAAGAAATCATTCAGTCTGTCTAAATGACCTTTGTATGTGTCAAGAACAATATTGATAGGTACCTCAAATTAGACAGAATTCCTGCCAAAGTCATAGGTAATTGTGATTAGAGCTGCTTTTGGTCACTAGCTGAGCATGTGAACACTTTCACCCATACACTGGAAGCCAACTAAAGACTTAAACCTCAAGCTTAAAAAAAATGAACTTCTTCCATGTGCCAAGACCAGAACTGGATACTCTCTCCATATCTGATCAGAAACAAGAGCAAGTTTCTTAAGCAGCTGATTTTAACACCTTTGTTCCATCACCTCTATTAGCCTCAACCTAAAAACCAAGCAAACAGTATATGTGGAACAAGAACACCTTCCCTAACATATTTATACTGTAAAAAATTATTTTATGAAATACGTAGTTTTATTTAATCTACATACTTCACATTTAACTGGGGAGAAAAATCTTACCTAGGCATGCTGGTACAGGCCTACAATCCTTGGTACTCAGAAAGCTGAGCCAGAAGGATCTTAAGTTTAAGGCCTCCTTGGGCTACAGACTAAGTTCAAGGTCAACCCAGGTAGCTTGGTCTGATCTTGTTTCAAAATAAAAAATATAACCAGGTATAGTGGCACATACCTTTAATCCCTCAGTAGACAGAGGCAGACAGATCTCTGTGAGTTCAAGGACACCTTAGTCTACATAGCCAATGCCATTTCTAGGTTAGCCAGGGCTACATAGTGCTGTGTATGTATACATATACATATATGTGTATATGTATAAGTGTGCGTGTGTAATGGTGACACAGCGGTGGGGCACTTGTGTAGAAGGCCCTGTATTCAACTCCCAGTAGGAATATAAAAAGACAGGAGTGGGTGGATCTTCATTGTCAACAAACCTCTTAATGACCATCTTATAATATTTGACCTCCTGACTTTTATTAAATCTCATATGGCTTTAAGAGTAACCAAGAAAAAGGACTAGGGAGTTGACTCAGTTAAGAGCACTTACTGACTATTCTTGCAGACCACCCACGTTCAATTCCTTGAACAACATGGAAGCTCACAACCATGTTTAACTTCGGTTCCAGGGGATCTGACTCCCTCTTCTGGCCTCTGCAAGCATCCAAGTGGTGTAAATACATGCATGCAGTCAAAATGCCCATACACATAAAAATAATAATTTTAAAGAGGGGAGACCAAAAAGAGATCCAATCTGAATTATTGCTTTGACTTCCTTTAAAATTGGTAAGCTTAGGCAGCAATGGCATTTCAGACATTATGTAAGAAGTTACACCAAGTTTGTCAGTTGCTTTGATAACAAGGTTTTACTGTCTCTCATCAAATGGGATGAACTAAGCCAGGCATGGTAGCATGCCTATAATCCCAGCTCTCAGGGAGGCAGAGGCAGGAGGATCTCTATGAGTTTAAGGCCAGCCTGGTCTACAAAGCGAGTCCAGAATAGCCAGGGATACACAGAGAAACTCTGTCTTGAAATATTAACTGCCCCCACACACACACCAAAAAAAAACACATTAGAATGAACTATAACTGAGAAATAAACCATATGCTTGTGTTTATACAGACTCACAAGGCAAGAGTATTTAGACAACACTTCTTTTAAACAATGAGGAAGGACCAACCACATGCAAAGCCCCAAAAGCAGTAAGAAATATCCCATCATAGAATCAATTGTCTGAGATGAAGTTAACATTAAAACTCACTAAGGTTTTTGTTTTGTTTTGCTTTTGGGTGGGTGGCTGGGTTTCTTTCAGGCAGGTCTCTGTATATAGCCCTGTATATAACCCTCTGTTTGGCTGTCTTGGAACAGGCTGGCCTGGAACTCAGAGATCCACCTGCTTCTGCCTCCTGAGTGCTGGGTTTAAAGATATGTGCCCAGCTGAACCAACCAATGTTTCTGGAACATAGTTGCACATGGTGCCTTGCCATGGATAAAAATTCAACATTTTATTCATCTGCTGAATAAATGAATAAGCCTAATTATTCCTAAGGAAAAAGGAAAAAAAAACTCCATATGCTAAGAACATCAAATATATTTTACAAAAATAGAAATAGATGCCTCTGCAGCATGAGGTCTATCTGTGACATAAAGGGACTAAAACATTGTATTCAAAAAGGTTTGTCAGCCTCTAGGTCAAAGTACTCCAAGAAACAGAGAGAAAACATGGTCCCTGCCAGCAAGCCCATCAAAACCTCAAAGAAGAGCGAGAACTATAACACTAAGGCTGATAGGAAAATATGAAGGTAGGCAGAGGTCTGGGGAGAAGCAGAGGGTCTTGAAGGGAATGTTTCGAGCTAGGCAACAGACAGAAATGATTATGTGTATCAAAGAGAGAAGTACGTGCATTAGGGTAGGGTGCTCAGAAAACATGGAGAAAGAACAGTATATGCAAAAGCCCAGAGGATAGAGAAATCATAACCACAAGAACTGTATATTAAGGAAAACTGCAGACCAATAGCTTTTGCAGGAGATGTATAAATTTTTTAAACTCAGCTAAGAATTCGTAATTACTTTTCACCCTCAAGGAGGCCTGCCTACCTACCGAAGGGTGGCAGTCAATGGACCTAAGGAAAAGCTCTCTCATCCTACCTAGCACTCAGGAGGCTGAGGAAGAAAAATGAAGAGTTCAAGCAATAGAACAAGGGCGCGCGTTTGTTTTTTGTTTTTGTTTTTGTTTTTTTTTTTGGGGGGGCGAAGAGAATGGAATCCGTACTTTTAACAAGCATCCTCCCCTGCATACCTAAGCTGGAAAGACGCTCCAGAACCTCTGAGATGATTATATATTCTTTTACAGTTGCCAAACCTTACTACACCCCAGAACCACTAGGGAATCTCCAGAAAGATACTGGTATTTGTATACCAGTATACAAATACACACACACACACACACACCCGCCCCATGCTTCCTGGTTTAACTATTTTGGCGTGCTGTAGCACCAGCAATCTTTTCCAAACTCCCCAAACGATTTTACCGTGCATCAAAGTTGGAGATCCAATGACCTAATTGTCAAGAAACTGGACTGGACTGTCAAGGCTGCCTGAGTTCAAATTACCCAGCTATATGACCTTGGGCACCGAAGGCGCCCGATCGCCCTGGGCCTCGGTTGCCTGGCCGGTAGAATGGGGTAACAGTCCTGTCACACAGGGTGGTGAAGTTCCCTATCTGGCCTGGGCCTGGCGGACAACAAGCGCTTGCTAAGGGTGGCTGTTTACTTTCCCCCGAGCGTCACCGTGCCCCGGGCAGCAGCATCCTCCTCACCGGAGCCCAGCAACTCCACCAGCCCCGCGGTGGCCCGCATTCTCCCCGGAGTTGCCGCCGCCGCTCTCAGACCGGCCCCTGTTCCCAGGCTGCCAGGGGCGCGCTCGGCCAGCCCGACCCTCCTGGGTCCGCTCACACCCGGCAGAAGCCGCGGGCCAGGACTGCGCTCCCGCGCCGGGTGCGTCCACTTCAGAACCCAGGAAAGCGCGTGCCAAGGCCCGGCCCCTGGAGCACCCGAGGGTGAGAGAGACCCCGCCCCAGTGGCCGCCGAAGGAAAAAAAAAAAAAAAAAAAAAGCGAGAGGGGAGGGTCCGGCCGCGCCGGCCGCCGCGTACCTGAGGCGACGGGCGGGGCCCGCATCGCTGGGCGGGCGCACCGCGGGCCGCACTCGGCCTGCCGCCTCACGCGACCCGCGCCATCGGGCCCGCGCTGCCACTGCCCCGGCAGGCCCTCCTCCGGCGGTCAGTCCGTCCAGCCGTGGGTGACTCTCACAGGGCGCCAAGGGGACGACGAAGACCGGTCGCTTGGCCGGCCGGCTGGGCTCCGTTCAAGCAACTTCCGACTGCCAGGGGCGGTGGCGTCAAATAATTCCCCAGCCGGAGGGACCAATGCGCCTGCGCGGCGGTCTGACCAGAGGCTTCTGAGGGAACCGAACGGGCAGCGTCAAATAAATCTCGAGGCCAGGAGCCGGAAGCTGCGCGTGCGCAGCCGTCCCAGAGGGCCGCGCGAAGCGAGGTTTACCTACACCGCCCCCTTTCGGGCTCCAGTGGAGAGGGAGGAGTGAAGTGACGGAGAAGTTACGTCATGGCGATGCGGGCTCGGGAGGCAGCCTGGCTTCTACATGTTCTCCGCGCGGAAGAGTGAAGAGCTTCGTTGTGAAAAGTTGGCTGCCATTCAGGCTCAAGGAATGTCTCGCATCCCAGCAATGTGTCGCTTCCTTCGCCCATCCTCTTATTACATGGGCGCAGCATTATTATGAGCAATGCCCTCTGCCAGGCCTGGTGTGCGTTAAAAGGATGAGTCAGACTTAAGATTCAGAACCTGTCATCAACGAGTTGAATCCGATCTAGGTGATAAGATATTAATAGCCAGAGATACAGGTTTGAGCACCTGCAAAGCACCGGACGTTTTGCAAACAGTACCACTTTCAATCATTTGGTTTCAGCTTCCACGAAGAAAGTTAACAGCATTAGCTACTCTCCACGTGCGGGGCTGAGAGGAAAGCGGGATGGTGAAGCCTTCAGGAAGGACCTGGCCTTGTGACTGACCTTGGAATTCAGAAGTGGAGAGATCAGGGTGTCAGGTTATGCAAAGAACACATGTTTGTGTAGAAGGAGCAGAGAAGACGGTGACTCTCACCCTCAGGAGAGACCATGAACCACAGTAGAAGTGAAGAAGAAACTGGTGCCCTCGTGGAAGAGAGAAAACAAGAGTTTCTTAATGAGCACAGCCCCACCTTCCCCAGGAGAGTAGTTAAAGGAAGGAAGAGGGGAAGGGGTGGGTAAGAATGTGCCAGGACAGTGTGTGGATAAAACAATATAGTTCAATGAAACATAATTTTGATAAGTGCTTTAGGAAGGTCAGTCATTATTTCAAGTCCCTCTCCTTACCTTTTCTACACTGTAGAGGCCAGAAAGCGAAGCCTCCTTGCTCCCTCCACAGAGCATTGCAGTGAAACAAAGCCCTAGTCCTTAGAGCATAAACCAAAGTTTCAGGGGAGAGCTAGGACATCAAACAAGTCCTGGAAAACTTTGTGTCCTTCAACTTTCCCCTACTTCATGATGGGAACCATGATATGATACAATGCCAGGAGGTGTGGCAGTCATTTTGAGACCTTGAGGAAAACTGCACTAAGAAATGTAAAACAAGGCAAAGAAACCTGCTTCTTTAGGGCACACTAACGTAGCTACATAACCCCTGTTCTACCTACCTCTCTGCTTTAAGGAGGGGGTATGCCACAATTTGTTGAGTTTTCTGTGACTTGTGACCACATTCCTGAAACTGTAAATATTGAACATCTGTGGTATATCAGACAGATACGAATGAAGGTTTGAAGAGCAACAGGTGATAGGGACTGGGAAAGTGACAGAGGACTGGGAACCTTTTTAAAGCAGTGGGACTGCAGATGTAGCTTATTTGATAGATTGCTCGCCTGGTGTGCATGAGATCTTAAGTTTGATTCCCAGCTCTGCACAAACCATACATGGTAGCATATTCATCCTTGAACTTGTTACACAGGGTGTTTAGGCCAGCTTGGGCTACATGAGACCGTGTCTCAAAAAGAAAAAAGTACTTGGGAGAGCGAAAATACTTCTAGCACCTCCATCTTGAGACTTTAAATCATGGTCAACCTAGCTCTTTTAAGGAGAGCTGGGTGGGGGGTAGAATATGTCCATTTCTTTAAATGGGGAAAAGTTATGTTCAACTCTGACTTGAGGCACCTAAACTTTGTTATTTTTATTTCACAAAAAATTGTAAAAGACAATAGAAGTAAAACAGGTAGAAAGTTTAAAACTCATAACTACACAGCTACAATCACCTAGTTAGTTTTTTCTGGTCGTTTTCACATATATTTGTTACTGCACTTGCCATGGTAGATACAGATTAGAATAGGGATTCTCTTCTACTCTGTAACATGTAGTTTATATCATGTTTTAATACTCTTTTTGATTGACACCTAGTAATTGTACCTAGTATACATATTTATGAGGTCCAGTGTGACATTTCAACACATATAAATAATGACTCATAAACAGAGTGCTTTAATATAGTGTGGTGTTGCTGCCGTAAAATACAAGCAAGCAGCTTAGAGGAGAAAGGGTTCCTTTTCCCTCATAAGTGCAAGTTACAGTGTATCATTTGCGGAGAAGTTGAGGTAGCAGGAACTTGGAGCATCTAAGCACATCAACAGTCAAGAACAGAGAGAGAATGAAGCCACGTGTATTTATGTTCACTGGAGTTCACTCTTCCTCAGTCCAGGACCCAGCCCAAGAGAATGGTGCTGCCTACAGTCGGCTAGGTCCTTCTGCACCAATTCATTTAATCAGTAACTCCCCCACAGGCCAATCTGAGCTGAACAATCTGTCATTGAGACTCTTCTCAGGTGACTCTAGATTGTAGCAAGCTGACAAACAAAACTGACCATCATACAGGGTAATTAGCATATCTGTTTTGTTGGAGGTAGAGGAGTGTTCGTGTGTGTGTGTGTGTGTATTTTGAAATATCTCATTAATTATTATCCCACTATGCAAGGTAGAACAGAAGAAATTACTCGTCCTCCTATCCAGTTGCCCTCTCTCCATCTGCCCCTCCCATGCCTTCCTCTACTCTGAGGTTAACTTTCTAGCTGCTACATGTATCTATGTGTGGTGATCATCTTTCCAACCCTGTCTTATTTTTCTTCCCATAACGACATCCAGTTCCATCCACGTGCTGTAAAGGATGGAATGTCATTCTTTTTATGGCTCTTTACTATTCCACCAGGTACACATGTCTCAGTCTCTTGACTCCTTTGTACATCAATAGATACAGAGGCTGCATCTGTGTCTTGGCTGATGTGAAAAGCGCTACAATAAAATGAAAGTGCAAGTGTCCCTTTGACATTCTCATTTCAGTTCCTTTAAGAGTGTTCCCTTCTAGCAACAGAGTTATCAGATCAGATTTATTTTCAGCTTCTTTAAAGGAATGCTCCATAATGTCTGCAGTAATTTACATTTCCTCATGTAATGTATGAGAGTTGCATTTCTGTCGGACCGGCACTTACTACTTTACTCTTTTTTTTTATCTTTATTTTATTTTGTGCATGACATTTTACATGTGGGCATATCTGTCTGTGCACCACTTTTGTGCCTGGTACCCATGGAGGCCAGAAGAGGATGGCTCACAACTGTCAGGGGGAGTTACAGACAGTTGTGAACTACCATGAGGGTTCTGGGAATCAAACCCTGGAGTTCTAGAAGAGCAGGCAGTGCTCTTAAGTAATGAGCTATCTCTCCAGTACCACCTTTAGTCTCTTTTATACTAGCCATTCTAAGTTGAGTAGGATGACATCTCCCTGTGGTCCCCATGTAGTTCTTGACAATCCCCCCAATAAGCCTTTTTTTTTTCCCAATAAGCCTTTTTTATTCATAGACGTTTTTGTTGGCCATTTGGCTAATGTTTTTTTTTAAATGTCTACTCATGTCATTTGCCAATTTTAAAAGTAAATGATTGCTTTTTTTTTTTTTTAACTATTGAATTGAGTTTCTTACATATTCTACAGATTAACCCTCTTTCTTGGATAAATAGTTTGTGAATGCTTTTTCCCCTTCCATAGGTGGTCACATCTTTCTGTTTCACTTGTTGTGCAGAAATTTGTAATTTGATATATTGGATTTACAATTTTTTTTCCTTTTGTTGTCTCCTTCTGAAAAACAAAAACTTGTCCTAAACCAATGCCCAGAGCATTTCACCCATGTTTTTTTTAGGAAGTTGATTATATTTTGGTCTTTGATATATTTTAAGGTTTGGGGGTATTTTATGATTTTTTTATATGTATGAGTGTTTTTAGCTACAGGTATATATGTGCATCATGTGCATGCCGGGTGGCTGCAGAGACCAGAAGAGTGTCAAATTCCAGTTACAGGTGACGTGAGCGATCATGTCAGTACCTGGAACCCAGCCTGAGTCCTCTGCAAAAGCAGTCAGTGCTCTTAACTGCTGAGCCATCTCTCCAGCTCCTTAAGCTATTCTTTGTAGTGAGTGAGGAAGGTATAGATCCCTTCCTCTACATATTAATATCCAAATTCCTTGCAGTTTTTAAAAGATTTATTTGTTTATCTGTATTTATTTATTGTGTGTGTGCACAGTGTTTTGCCTGCATGTGTGCCTGCATGCCAGAAGAGGGCTCCAGATCTCATTATAGACTGTTGTGAGCCACCATGTGGTTGCTGGGAATTGATCTCGGGACCTTTGGAAGAGCAGCCAGAGCTCTTAACCTCTGAGCCACCCCTCCAGCCCTTCTTGCAGTTTTTAAAAACGGTGTTGTTATGGTCCCAGGCTGGCCTCCAACTCAGGATCATCCTGCCATAGCCTCTCAGCTTGAAGGTTATAGCCATGCCTAGCTTCTGAGCATTTGACTGAAGAGGAGACTTTTTCTTTCTTTCTGTCTTCATCAACATTCAGTTGTCTGAGAAATGGAGAGGAGGGGAAGTAGTTAAAAGGACATATGCTCTTCCAGAGGACCCAGGTTTGCTTCTTAGCACCCATAGAGCAGCTCACAACCTTCTGTATCTCCAGTTCCAGAGAATCCAGTCCTTTCTTTGATACCAGAGATGCACATACATGCAAGCAAAAATTTCATCCACAAAAAATAAATATTTTTAAAAAATCAGTAGGCCACAATTATGTGCATTTATTTCTGGATTCTATGTTTCCATGGTCTATGTTTCTGTTTTTATGCCAGTACTTGTTTTGGTTACTATTACTTTGTAGTATGTTTAAAGCAAGGTATAATAATGAAATGCTGCTTTCTTTTTTTTTTTTTCCTCAGAAGTACCTAAATATTT